GGGACCGCTGCCGGGACAGCGTGTAGACCGGCCCGGTCCGGTAGTAGTCACCCAGGAAGGTGAAGAAGAGTTCGAAGTCGAACGAGTGGTAGACGCACGCTTGAAGCGTGGAAAATTAGAGTTCCTGGTCCTATGGAAGGGCTATGGAGACGAGGACAGAACGTGGGAACCAGAATCCCATCTGGAAAACTCCCGCGACGCTGTTCGCGAATTTTATTCTAGGAATCCCTCAGCTCCCAGGAAGCTCAGAGGCATGGATTCAAACCTTTTTAATTCCCTCTTTCAACCTATGCCCGAAAATTTTACCACTACCTCCGAAATTTGGTCTCGCCTGGAAGTCGAGCCTTAGAAGGGGGGTAGTGTTACGATAACACAATTTCCGGACATCTCCTTTCCTTTTATTCTCCGCTTTAACTTTATATACTTTAAGTGCCACGCGGCATTTCCCTTTCTCGCGCCGCATTTCCTTTCTTTTACTTTTAGACTTAACTCTCTCACGCAGTGGAGCTGGCCATACGGGCTAGGCCCTATGACATCATCAGCCACTGCCTTCATCAGCTGTATAGTACACATGTACAAACAAACCTGTAGTAGTATATATACCCCAATAAATCCAGGAGACTCCTCAGCGAGTCCTCCTGTTGTATACCAACTAACTCACTGCAGCCCAAGGGGTACCCACTCCCCATCTTCCACTACCTTTATAGTGTGTTCCTGTGTGCGCCAGAGTAACTAACTCTTGGTTGTTACAGAGTTTATGTACTTGTATATGTTATTTTTCATTCACTAATTATACAACTAGTGTTACAATTTCTATCCTCTTTTACGGACTACTCATTTTCCTTTACTCATTGGTTATACCATCGCACCAATGACCCATATCCTTCACGTACATTTCTGTTCTCTTCGCAGTCACATTACCTTGTATAGTACTTAGTCCTCAACAGATGAACCTCCCCTAGATAGGACCTAACTTCTATCGCCAATTCTATTTCTATAAATACGCTTGTAACAGTAGTAGTATTTCTTAATACAATTCTACGCAGTTTACACTTATAAAGCTAGACTCCTAAGATCAGACTTCTACTCAGAAGAAGACCAACTCTCGTTGGAGGAACTCTACTCAGAACTACATTCTCAAACTTGTCTTTGGATAAGTCTCTTTGAAACCTTGACGAACCCTCAGACTTTGTTAAGCACTTTGTGTGTAACAACTAGAGCCAGATTATATGCAAAACCCTCAAGAACTTGGACAACAGATCCACCAACCACTTTTTGTAGAGCATATCCAACATTTTCTATACAGCCAGCGACATCTGGATAATCCAGATACACCCTCCTCATATGACGTGCCTTTGAGAAACTGCCCCAGCCTTCCCTCCAACACAAAAATATCTGTGGTGCACTCTGCAGCCATCTATTTTTATGCACCAAGTGACAAAAGTGGTGTCGGTGGGATGCATCGTGAAGTGATCCGTGTATGCCAACATGGCAAAAAGGTCCAGCTTGGCATGATACAGTGTTTGTAGAATGCAACACTACACTCCCTGGCATGCAGGGCCTTGATATTGTTCACATTCTACTACTCTTCTTTTTTTCCTATTGGGGAGTTCGCTACCCATGTGCATTAGTGTAGTGGTTTTCCCGTGTGGCCGATCAATGTGATGAGCTCACCGGGATGTGGGTGGTGCATCCAGATCACAATGAGGATGGCTTACCTACACTTCAGGTTATTCATACAGACTGCATCATGCGAGCGGCACATATAATGCCTGTTTTTGGTGAAGCTTTTATAGGACAAAACATCAACTATTCCAACTCTCTTGATTCTTTTGACACATTCTATGTTAACAAATTTATTGATCACAGTGCATTTGAAATTGCTTTAGTCTTACTTGTCTTATTAGTCATTTTTTGAACAAATTCATCTTAGTTTTTCTTAAGCACTTATAACAGCTTTTTGGTCTTGTGACCATGATCTTAGTCTTAGAATACATTATTTCAAGCAGCTGTACCTTGGCCTTAGCATCACTTATGAGCCTTTATTGGCTTGATCTAGCTTGATGTGGCTTGACACAGCTTGATATAGCTTGACATAGCTTACAAGTGAAAACAAGGCACCTAAGATGCATGTAAATTCCCTGATGTAATAAGATATGCAGAGTCGGCCCACATCCATTTGTCTTTTTCCTGAAAGACTTCATGGTCATGCGATATCAGAGTATCTTAGAAGGCAGAAGAGTCATGAGTGCTGCCCATGTGCCCTAATCCATAGTCCACAATCTTAAAATTATGAGGGAGGATGGTAATCTAGGGAAACCATCAGGTTATTCATATAATTCTAAAATCATGTTACTTACCTGAGAATTCAAAGAGTAGTTTGATTTCCTGTCAAAGAACATCTCCCCATAGTGGCTTGGCTATTGGAAGAGGCAAAAATTGGTGCCATCAACTGCTAAACATCCATTTCTCCACTCCGCACAAACCTGGTGCTCTACCCATGCTTTTGCTGCATCCTTTTCCTCCTGATTAGCTTGCCCAATAACTCAATCATGCAAAGGGAGAATAGCAATCATACAGTGTTTGGTGCTGTTCACTACATTGCCGACTGAGTAATCTGCCCAGTCAGCAATGTCAGTGGCCATAGATCCATTGCCATAATGGCCTAGGCGGTTCAGAAAGATTGAGAGTTGATGTTCTACAGGAGTTTGTGGTGTATGAGATTTATTATGAAAAATAGGATGATGGATGATCTTGGCCAGAATTGCATCAAAAGTCTCTGGTTGGCATCAATTAACATGGAACAAACAAGTCTGGTTGTAATGACGTGACCACTCCATAAGAGGAAATTGTGAAATATGTGGTGCTGGTGGGTATGTAGTAGGAACTCTTGTGGTTTCTACTTCACTGCTTAGACAGATGTATTCACTAAGTAGAATTTGGATATGACATGTCCTGGGGCGCACTTGTACAACCCCAGCTGGTTCCTCGTCAGGTGATATACTTGATATTTAAATACCAGACATTAAACACTAGAAAATATTTAATCAATTAATCCATAGGGACTTACCTGACATTAATGAGGTTGAGTGTACGACAGATAATGGAGTACTCGCAAGTGACGTGTCACGTGATGTGTCACCCTCTGAATCTTGGGAGGTAGATAAGCGAGTCGTCGAGGTTGCCGAGATGCTGCTGGCGAATAGTGGGTTGATGACGAGGCATGGTGGGTGAGGTGTCGAGGTATGCTTTCCAAGCTTTTATATAACTTGAAGCATGTTTTATTCAATCTCAACCTCTAGGTATCCTGACGTTTTTCATACTATCGTTGGACACCGGATGCAACCAGTAAGAGATATGCACTTGGGCCTCCAGAGGCTCAACGATCACTGTACAGGTAGCTAGAAAATTGTCAGATGTAGCATATAGTATAGAGAATATAATTGTGAAAGAATTTAGTGAATAGCTTATCTGTAGCAACAACGACAGACCTGACACTATGCTCTTGAACTCCAGAAGTGTGAATTTTGAGGGAAAGATGGCCAGATTTGACCAGATCTCGTGCTGGGAATATTGCAATATCTTTCTAGAAAACGTCAATAGGTAGGCCCCTACAATGCCAGATACTTACTGAGCTGATTGGGGCCTCAAAGCGTCTAGAGAAACGAAAACAATGATGGAGTCGTGACTAGGCGACCGAAACAGGCAATCACACACCAAGATAATCAAGGACCGCTAGCTCCGCTTCGGTACGTACCGCACATACCACCAGCGTCAGGACTTGGTGTGACCTGGCGGAATTTGACTTGTAAGCTCCGCCTGATTTGGTCTGTGAGTGCCGCTGTGACCCAGTGTGACCAGAACCATTCCAAAACATGTGTCGTCTTTTCGGTTTTGTTCCGCTGCTCCAATGCTTCAAGTTCTTGCTTATTTTTCTACATAGGCAGCTAGAAAACTAAAAATTATATCTACTGGTCAAGTTCCGACAGTCTAAAGCTCAACGACTGGTGAGTTATTCAACTTCTCCCCAGACCAATTGCACCTATTGTCCAACGATAGTACAGGTTTATTATTGATTTACAGTCTCGGCTCGAGTGTAAGTTTACTGCCGTCGCTTCATCATGTTATTTCCATACTGACGACACCTTTTCTCTCTCATCAATTTCCTTATGAAACGCACTTTGAACGAGGCTAGTGACTCAGGTGTCCTTCGAAGACACAGTTCTCACACAAATGCACAAACTGCAATTGTCGTACATCCCCATGGTTATTTATATCCCAGTTAATGTTCTGGACGCACGGGGAAGGATGCCCGTATCCATTCAGTTCGTGATCTTCTGTTGCCATGATCTTCTGTCACCTCATCAAAGTCGAGTAGCTGATCAACTGTGTCGAACTCCCACTATATATGGTCCATGTGGCATAATTGGAACGAAACTCGACTAACAGCAATATTTATTTTATAACAAGCCACCGCTCTGAATTCGATGATAAATAAATACATTAAGTACTATTCTTTGCGGCTACTGCGTGCATGTTCAAGATAATGATCAAGTGGAAGAGTGGTCTTTATTTTTGCGATTCGGCATGTGTGTCTGACGTCAGCGTGTTCAGCACAGTCTTCTAAGGCGGCACAGCAACGAGCTCAATCGAGCCCAGTCGATACATGGTAAGTAAACGGCCAAATTTAAAAGCGAAGAGCGGCAGAACCTGAGGTGCACATATCGCAATAAGGTCCAAAGTTCAACAGACTACTTCTTGTTCACGACGTCCTCATGCGTTTTCTAGTTCATAGCTAAGGACGAGTCAACAGCAAAGCTTGAAGGCATCAATCACATCTGTGCCGTTGTCTCGAAGTAGATCTGCGTCGAATATGCGAATGGAACGATCAGACCTCAATGCCAAATTACAGAACAATAATATAACCCAAGCGCTCACTTTATAGTGCCCGGTTATATAAAATGTCCTTCAACCCTCAGTCCAAGCTAGCTCTCTTTCTCGAATCTGCTCTTATAAAATGCGCTCTTTACTCCTTCCACTCGTTTCATTAGCCCTTGCCGTCGTTTCCTTGGCTGATCCCGTTATATCACCCTACGTCTTACACGAAAAGCGAAGCAGTGCACCGCAAGGATGGTCTCGCGCTGGTAAACACAACTCTGCAGCCATTATCCCTCTACGTTTTGCTATTGCCCAAAGTAACATTGAGAATATCGGCGAGTATCTCTACGATATCTCATCACCTGGATCCTCCAACTACGGGAATCATTGGACTGCAGGTGAAATAGCAGCTAAATTTGCTCCTAGCCATGATTCTGTCGATGCTGTTCGCTCCTGGCTCATGCAAAGTGGTCTTGAGCCCGAGCGCATCAAACTGACACGCACCAAAGGATGGATTGAAGTCAAGGCTACCATTGAAGAGGCAGAGGCTCTTTTGCAAGCCGACTATCACGTGTATAAACATGAGACTGGCAAAGAACACATTGGTGGGTGATTTTTTTCATCAAACCCGACATTCCTAATTGCGATCACCATTATCATAGCCTGCGAGAGTTACCACCTACCTGCTCACATCACACCTCATGTCGACTTTGTCACCCCCACCGTCCACTTTGATGCCAAATTATCGAAGCGATCGGACCCCGTTAGTGATCCTACTCGAGTTGGACTACCTGGCAGTGGTAATGGTCCGAAGACCACGGGTACTGTCGACGATCTCCTGGGTCTGGTCGGTGAACTCGAAAACTGCGACAAGCAAATTACTCCCGCCTGTCTCCGTGCTCTGTACGGCTTAGTCTATGATCCTGTTGCCACATCAAAAAACAGTTTTGGTATCGGTTAGTTGTACTTCGCATCTTAAACCTGCTCTTCACTCAGGCACCTTCGCAGTGGAATACACTCCCCAAGCCTATCTTCAGAGTGACATGGATATCTTTGCTGAAAAATATGCCAGTATTCTTAACAGCACTCAGTTCGCCCCCGACATAATTTCAATTGACGGAGGTACTATTCGAATATGTTTTTTCATTGACTGTTTCATAACGAGCAATATCTGTCTTAGGCATCATTCAAACCACAAATAAAGGCTACGCATACAACGGAGAATCCAGCCTTGACTTGCAGTATGGCATGACATTAGTCACATCCAAACAGAACGTTACTCTGTATCAAGCTGGAGATATTAACATAGGTACGATCCAGCGCCCTTTTGTATGCTAAGTGTTTTGTTTGTTAACCAAAGATACTCTACAGGCGCATCATTTAACAACTTCCTCGATGCGATAGATGGCTCATATTGCACATTCGAGGGTGGAGACGATCCTTCAGAAGACTCTACATATCCGGACACCCAGCCTGGCGGATACGACAAACCGGAAGAATGTGGCACAGTCAAGCCTGCAAATGTTATAACCACTTCATATGGTCACAATGAGGCAGAGATTACCCCGTTCTATGCTGCCCGTCAATGCGCTGAATATGCAAAACTTGGACTTATGGGTGTTACTGTCTTGTACAGCTCTGGTGACAATGGTGTCGCAGGTAATGTTGACGTGTGCTTGAACCCTAATGGTGAGTTTTTCTAGTGAGATGCATAAGATGCAAACGTGGATGCCGTCTTTGGGCTCATGGCTAAATTCCACAGGCACCCAAACCGCGGATGGCAAGATCTTCAACCCCACTTTCCCTGGAACCTGTCCGTATATCACCTCCGTTGGAGCAACTCAAATCAACCCCAACTCCAGTGTGCTCGAGCCAGAAAGCGCATGCGAACAGGTCATTTATTCCAGTGGAGGCTTCAGCAACTACTTCGCCATCCCTGATTACCAGAAAGACGCCGTGGCAAGCTACCTGAAGAACTACCCCCCTTCATACCCTGATAGCATCTGGAACTCAACGGGAACGGTGAGATTCGATCTTATCCCATATATGATGCAATGGCTCATCCTTCGGTTTTCCTTAGTCCCGCGCTTTCCCAGATCTTTCTGCTAATGGAGCTAACTACGTAGTAACTGTGAGATGTTATTATCCCCGTTATGTGGAGTCTTCCTGATAACTTCTCCTTCTCACACAGATTGACGGCAACTTCAGCCTTGTTTATGGCACTTCTGCTTCATCTCCCGTCGTTGGTGCCATCTTGACCATGGTCAATGACGCACGACTTGCTGCGAACAAGAAACCCATTGGATTCATCAACCCTACCGTACGTTGTCTTTATGGAGGATTGCTGGTGTACTCTCCTCTAATTCTAAATCACGATGTCCCTTGATTAGATATACTCGAGTAACTTCTCTGACGCCTTCAACGATATCACCAACGGCTCGAACCCAGGCTGTGGTACTCTAGGCTTCAACTCCACTCCTGGATGGGACCCCGTCACTGGTTTGGGTACCCCCAGGTTCCCCAAGCTCCTTGAATACTGGCTCCAGATGCCCTAAAGGATCTACAGTTTTCCTTACGTACTGCTTATCACACTTACTCTGGCAAATTGCAGTGCCAAATGTGGAACGATCACCCAATGCTCGCGTATTTGGTGCCTTTGCTATATTTACTATATTATATTGTTTGCAATGGACTCAGGTTTTTCTTATTCTCCCAAACAGAAGTTCGTGGTATCCACATTCAGTACTTCCTTCATCTCGCGCTAGCTGTTCGACGCCTGAGGTATGCTTTTACAACAAGTTGTTCAATCCTGTTTAAGAGCGGAGGAGTCATTGTCGAATCAGATGACAATCAATAACACCACAGATGATCAGAACTATCAATATGCCCAGTACTTATGTTTTTTCAAACGCACCTTTGCTTGAACATCAAAGCCACCCCCTGACTCATGATACCTTTGATTAATTGTGCTGTAAGGCCACGGTAAAGAGCGAAGATGCCTCCACGAGCATACAGTGAGCTGATTATAGATTGGATTGTCGGGGTTGGACGGGGCGACTTAGTTGATGTGCTAGATGACACAGCATCTTGTGAAGTCCGTGTCACTTGTACGAGTGTCTTAGCAAGGATGAAAGGATATAGAACAGCCACAGCTGAATGGTGCCCATCAGCCTTCAAGGAAAATCAGTCATTGAATGCGAAGGAGAATGAATACCGAATGAATTTGCCAAAGCCCCGCCTATAAATGCTTGCTGTGGCGTCGGGGTGGAAAGGTCTCTGCCCCTGAGAACCACACGTCGAAAAAGCTGGAAGAGGAACAGAGTGATAGATGGGTTTAACGACAGAAGGAAAGTCGTTGAAAATCCTACGAATGTATGTAGTTGTATGAAATTCGACGAGATAATAATGAATAAATACCTTTCCAGAATCCGAGTAAACCATTTTCGTCATATATATGCTCGCATGCAGCTCGAAATCCAGTCTTTGTATTCCCTGCCTTGCCATCGTCAGGCGAAAGGGCGTCTTCATCATCACGCTCCGTTTGTAAACGTACAGTAATAGTACCGAGAGGTGTAGATATCGCTCTACTGGCCAGGCCTGCTATATAACCAATCGCAAGTTCTTGTGGCACAGAAAGCATGGCAGCTTTTGCCCTCCTCCTCGTCAGAATAGATCGGAGGAAAGAGTATGCATAGTAGTAAAAGAAACTGTTTATATATTCAGCTAATCCTCAAATTTTTCAATATTAGAAAAAAACTGAAGTAATTTACCTTGATACGAAAGTAGACCACGTATCAGAACCAATACCATCATACAATGCCGTGACGCCATGTCTCTGGATGAGCTTGCGGACAGATTTATTGGCTTGTATGCGGGTTGTGATAAGATCCAGTGGATAAGACAGGATATTAGCAGTAGCACTGCCTAATGAGCCTGCAGAGGCTTGTATGAATGGCGGGAGCGTGCTGGTCATGGTAGTCAAAAGTCAAGCTAGTCAAGGGTATCCTTAAAGTAACATATGCTGGAGCAACAAAGATGACGTCGCGAGTGTTATCTTATCTCAACGCGATCACGTGATAAGCTCATAATTATTTATGTTGCTGTCGCGACATACACTGATTCAAATTATCTACGCTCCTTAGACCACGTTGCTCAAGACAGCTCTTCCAAAGTGGCATTCTCAGCCTGATCGTTCTCCGTGCTCTGAGGAGCGGAGCACACTCTACCGTTAGGGCAACAGCCCACCCTCGTGCTGGCGGCATTGCGGACACAGTAATAACTGGTAAGAGAACGCGAGTCATTTGGTACGATCGGAACATCAAGGTAACAGCAATCTCACCCTTTGCCGCAGCATCGTTGCAGAATGCAGCATTGTCCTCCAAGTGGGCAACAGCTGAAAGATGAAGCGTACATTAAGCGAAGCGTACATAACGTAATGTCGAAGCACTCACCCCCCATCAGAACATGAACCATATCCACTTGAACAACTCTGACGACGTAGCAGCTCAAAGTTGGAATCGAAGGCGGTGATATCATTGGCATCAGTACTCTCAATTGGCTTCATTAGCTCATTTTCAGCGGGAGCTGCCAGAGATAGGGTGGAGGAGAACACAGCGATGAGAGCACTAAAGAAGAAGAGGCTATTCATGATGGACACTGAGGAACTTTGGTGTTGGGTGATTTGGGGAGGCTGGGGTCGTCTACTGCATAGATGGAGGGTTTTAATACCTTGGCAATAATTCATAGCCAAGGCTGAATGCCGAGCAAAATGGTTTTGGGGTGACTTGCAACACAGCGTAGTGCCAGTGACTCGGCGAAAAGGCTAGTCTAAGCCAGTTAGCGCCATGAGAGTGTGTAGTTCACTTACAGCACTATATAAATTCTTCGATCACGATTAGGTGTGCAATTAGACAGAATGCAAAAACAAGATGAAGTTACTGACCGATGCCCGCAGGGATTAATTGGACATACTAGTATCTGAATCAGTTTGAATATGTCGCCTCATTCAACTGGAGTGTCGACAAGCCTGATGCCTGATGTGGCACAACACTGTCTATGGGAATCGTACAGTTTGTCGAGATTAAATTCTGGCACATCGTCGTGCTAAGGGCTGACTGCCAAGAGCGGGCGCTTTCCGTTTTGGCACAAGTACAACGAAGCTGACAGTCGACCCTGGACCACGCAACTTTATGAGAGAACCGAATAATTGAGGTCATGGGTCGTACTTTTTCACTGGAAAGGAATTCTGAATATACTACCCTAGGCTACAACTTGAATGCGCTATCGCCTTTCTTTCATAGATGACCTTCCCACTGCAATTTTTGTTGGAAAACCAATCTGAACACTTGTGACGGCGTTGAACTTGCAGCCGAATTTTAAGCCGGAGATTGAGTACGGTTCTTCTGCTCGTATTTCTTCGAGATATTGCTTGGTGTATATTAGGCGTGGGCGTGCGAGGTAAGCATCCTGTAGCGTTTAGCCAACGTTCTTTCTGATTCGTGGTCACCGACATGGTTTGGTCATGGTGAAAGCGGAAACATCGGAACTCGGAAGTCAGCTTCCGGCCTTTGCTTTTACACTTTACTACATCCAACAGAGATCAGTTTCAATTTTTGTCAATACCCGTTACAACAGATGTGATAGTACAAAGACAATGTAAGAAGATACCAGGAATTCGATATGTAGACAACCTTGCACAATCAACCAACGGTCACTCAGACGGTAAGCCTGATGGGTGACTTGCTCGTCGTGATCTGAACACTGCCTTGAGATACCCCTGGTCCGCTATTAGGATTCCAATACACCGAGCCAGTCACATGATCCGAACTCTGCGAGTCTTTCTTCAGAACACGCTCTCGTCCTTGTCCAGAAGGATCCGTTGCACCACTCTTGACCACAGTGAGAGGGGAGTATGAGGAATTGAGTGTGAAACCGCCTTCGTAGGCGTTGTTTAACGACACAGTTACGGGAGCATATACGGTAGATACGACGAGGTTTTGGATAGAGTCGATGGGAGAGCTTATGTGAGTAAGGGTGATAGGTGCCTTGACGGTGGTAGCGGAGACTTTGAAGTTTCCGCCAGTTCCTGCGTCAGAGTGGGTAGAACTGGGGGGCGTAGGGGTTAGTTTACTCATGTGTGTCAACAGGGCAATGTGCAAACCTGTCACTTGTTTGATTTCCAGCCAGATAAGAAGCCACGTCGTTCCGAAGACCCACTCGAGCTGTGATGTTTGCATCGGTAGTTGTAAGCTCTAGCGATGAGGACACATTGAACGCGCCCTTGATAGCCCCTTTAGTAGCTTTGAACGTGCCGGAACCTGCGAAGATAGACTAGGGAAAATATCAATAAGTGCATAGCTTAAAGGAAGAGAGAACTTACTTCTGAGGTGATTCCCGCAGAATCGCTCCCTATGGTGAAGACACCGAAGTAAACTGTTCCCCGGAGATCGGCAATTTGGTGAGAGTAGTGAGAAGTAGTGCTTTCAAAGTCCTTGATCTTCAAAGGACTGCCATCCGAGGTAGCGGGGAAAGTCACTGTAACCGTGAAATGCATGCGGTCTAGCCTATCAGTGGGGTGCCAACCATTGGGTGTCTGACAAGGCGTTAAGACAACCTGGCGCAGTTCATTCATGCAGATGGTGGGAGAAAAAACTCACAAAAATACCCACACCCTCACCATCCTCCTTCTCTTTCTTCAACAAACAGACATTAGCATGATCCAATGCTTCCTGTCTATGGTAATTCACATGCACACGGACATCGACTTTATTTCTAGCGACGTCCGAGTTCACGATGTTCACGTCACCGACGTTGCCGCCGCCACGAGTCAGGAAGTAGAGCAGAGCAGAGTCAAGGGGAAGCGCGAATGCACTTTCAGCGGAAAGGGGGTATGGTGATCCACTGGGGTTTTCAGTATACACAGACCAGTCAGAACCGCCGACGCGACGTATAATGGTGCCATCTTCTGGCGTAGGCCATCCGGCATCGTTAGCATTCACGCCAGACTGTGATTCATGAGTACGATGAAAGTTTAACAGGTGCAAAGTTATTGTAAAGCAATGGACGTACATTAATAGGGTCTGCATTGGAATCCATGAGTGATAGTACATGATTACTCTGTAAGGGATTGGTTGAGCGAAGGGAATAAAGCTTAGGGTGGAAAGGAAAGTTCTTGAGCCTTATAAGCAAACGGTGAAGTGAATGTGACGTACTTAGTAATGGCGAAGGGGACAATGCACCCTGCTATGAGGTGGATTGGAAATCAGGATTGTACTGGGTTAGAACGGTAACGAGTCAGGGTTAGGCCCCATGCAGAGAATTTACGAGATGAGTGAAGGGAAGAAGAATCACGGGCTTGCCAAACGAACTCACCGAACAAGTCCTGTGACAAGGATGACTCTATTAAGTGGCCATAAGGGAGTAGCATCCACAACCTGAATGGTCGACATTGGCGAGTAACCCGACTACCTACCAATAGAGAGAGAGCAGAAAATAAGTGTACCGCTTATTGTCGCAATCCTCGAACCGAACAAGCAAGCAAGTCTGACAGCTCTTACCTGACACCTTTCTCGATGCGTCGTATACATTGCAAAGAACCTCAACTCGTGCTTTGGGGCTAATGTGACTGTTAAAGAACTTCCCTATTGACAATTAAGCCGCATCTCCACGTAGTGCGCAGAACAAGTCGTCCAAGTAGAACGTTGACAGTGTGTTTTCTCCCCTGATGTTCGAGTTGATGAGGCTCTATGTCATTGTTCCGGTCGAGATTCAGATGAATAGATCGACATGAATAGAGACGGATATTAGCGGACAGTATGATTTCCATCAGCTCACATACTGTCTCCCACCAGTGACTGAGCCCTCGGACTGTCCTTTAAAGGATCGTCGAGCTCTCGAGTTTGCTTCACCTTGCCTAAGGATAAATCCACACTCTGGGGTGCGTGGATCCACTAGCCTTGCCATGAGCCAAGCGTTCAATGGAAAGACATTTGCTTCGCCATTATTCGTGGATATCATTTTACTAGTACAATTGAGCATCTAAGGACTTGCAAACCTCCGGGCGATACGGCATCACGTTTGAATCGAAGAATGGTTTTTGCCTAAAAGCGTTCTTGATGTCACGTGCCATCACTGAAGGGGGTGACTTTTACTTTCACGTGATTATATACACCTTTCATCGTGACCTTCACCATGTCCGTCGCTCATGGTATCAAACTCCTAGGTGTGCTCGGCGCAGGCCAAATGGGCACGGGCATTGCCTTTGTCTCTGCTCTTCGTGCCAAAGTTCCTGTACTTATACACGACCGCTCGCAAGAGCAAATAACCAAAGGTCTGGCACTCATGGATAAGCTCCTTGCGAAGGACGTTTCCAAGGGTAAACTCCAGGCAGCTGAAGCTCAGGAGGCACGCGATCGCGTACGAATTGTCGATAGTTTGGATGCCATGCGTGACGTGGATATGATAATCGAGGCTGTTACAGAGAATATGGATCTCAAGCGGACATTGTTCAAAAGCTTTGCGGAGACACTAAGGCCGGATGCCATTTTGGCTACGAACACTTCGTCTATCAGTATCACAAAAATCGCTGCCGCAGTCATTCCATCTGGAAAAACTGCCGCATCTAAGGAAGGAAAAGAAGCTGCTGGAAGGGTCGTTGGTAAGGCGTGGAGAACTTTCGACCGATGTATACTGAATTATATTGATATCACAGGTCTCCATTTCTTCAATCCTGTCCCTGTTATGGTATGCTTGTCAACTCACCACTCTGTCCACTGATATATTTCCGTGGCCCTTCAGAAACTCGTTGAACTCATATCCGCAATACAAACGACCCCTGATACTTTGGACCGTGCACGAGCATTCGCAGAAGCATGCGGAAAGGGTGAGTGGAACTGTTTCCTTACTGTGTGGTTCTTCAACCTAAATCACGTTTGCAGAGGTTACAACGTCTCAGGACGTCCCAGGTTTCGTGTCGAATGCGCTGTTGATGCCATTCATTAACGAGGTTAGGGTTAAATTTATTGTGATGATTTCATATGAACTCTTGTTCTTCAGGCGATCATGTGTTTAGAGAAGGTATTGTATTTGACTTCACTCATTGCCTGTCAGAAAATATTCAACATATTATCACAGGGCACAGCTACTCGTGACGACATTGATAAGACATTCCGTCTAGGAATGAACCATCCTATGGGGCCACTCCAGCTAGGTGCGGAGCTCTGATGCTTTTCTGAATCCTTTATCCTAATTTGCCTTTTCTCCATGGGATAACGCGACACCTCTAACGCTGTCTGACTGGGTGACACAGCTGATTTGTGAGCCGCATTACCTTATATCTAACCCGTACCAACCTAAAACTATCACCTTCAGTATTGGTTTGGATACATGTCTCTCAATTCAGCAAACGTTATACACTGGGACGTCCGACTCGAAGTACCGACCTTCCGTTCTTCTTGAGCGCATGGTAGACGCTCAGTGGTTGGGGCGTAAAAGTGGCAAAGGTTTCTACGAATACGATGACTGATTACAATGCAGCCCAGGGCACCGAGCCTTTCCAGTTAACAGAGCACACTGTGCAGTAGAAACATTCAATTTCTCCTGAGATGATGATGTTACATCTTACAATGGTGGCTTCTGTTGTCATTGATAACTGCCTGCCCAGTTGTAACTTAAATGAAATGCCTCAGTTTCCGTGATGTTAGTCTCCGGCCCGCGGCCCGGTCGATCACTGGCTGCCATTCAAGTTGACTCCGAACCGATAAATCGATAACTGACAAGTTTTTCCGGTTCATACTTACGCTACCTTATACACCAAGTCATGCGTTCCAGCCCTTTCATTGACCTTTCGCATCCCTTGACCAACCCAACGCCATGTTATCCTGGAGATACGCCGTTCGAGATGAGCTCTGTTTACAATATTGCCTCAGACGGATTCAATCTACATTCATTATCAATGGGAACACACTGTGGAACGCATATCGATGCACCGTACCACTTCTGCGAGAATGGGAAGAAACTGGATGAACTAGACTTCGAGTCGTTCGTCGGGCGCGCAATCATTGTCGATATTCGCCAGGTGGTCCAGCCGCCCGATGGATCAAGGAATCCAGACCAAGTTCGCGAGGTAAAGAGGAGAGTTGAATGGGAAGACATACAGCAGGTATTATCAGCTACGAAAGGAATACAAGGAATAGGGGCAAGGTCACAGAATAAAGCTGATATTGTGCTATTCTGGACGGGATGGGACACATATTGGGGCACGGCGAAATACTTCGAGCATCCCTATCTGTCAAAGGAGGTAGCAGTGCAATTAACAAGGCTTGGCGCGCGTTTTGTTGGAGTTGATACTTTTAGCCCAGATGAAACTGTGATGGAGGGGCAGTCGAGGCATCAGCACAGTGATCCGTTCGGGGTACATGAAACACTCCTGGGCAACGATTGTCTTATCTGTGAGAACTTGAAAAATCTCGGGGAACTTGCAGCGATTGGAGATAACCCAGAAGAGGAGATCTGGGTGAGTTTGATGCCGATGAATATCAAGGGAGCAGATGGAGCCCCCGTGAGGGCATATGGCTGGAGGAGCAGACCCAGAGGCATGCATAACCGTCATTCTTTCTTGTCAAACGTATCACTGACTTCCCCTTGACTCCAGGAACACTTGCAACGTAATAATATTGTGGTTTGCCGCGGTACACACGATGTGTTCTCAAACTATACTGCTATCCCTTCCCTCCAAATGTACTACCATTTTATCTAACATTCAGACAAATAAAGGAAAATGCAGAAAATAAATCACAATCTCGTAATTCTCGCGTCGTCCATCTCAACTTGATGCGATCGTCTACGTTTCAAATCTAGAATCTTCTAGCCATTCTCTCGAGAACACCCTGCCTAATTTGGCTCGTTGGCTGGTGAGTTTCTTATTTAGACCTCTGATAACAATATGCAAAGCTAAGAGAAAGCGAGGTATTCGTTTGTCAGCGATTACTAGAGGTGATAGCTATTCAGTGCGGCCCCTGAAGCCTTGATACAACATGTATTACAGGACCACAGCATCGTACGACAAGTCCAGTGGATCGTGCCTATCCTGAAAAGCCACCCGCAGTACTAAAGTTGGCATTCTCATATACCAGTTTATACCTTCAGTTATCCCTGTCCGCTGGATTTAAATGGTTATACGACGGAGTACGGGCCCCCTCGCTGGAGCTATATTAATTTGGAACTGTAAGCCGACTGATGACGACTATGACTGGGTTTTGAAGTTTTGCGGTTTTGTGAGTCATCTGTCAATGTTCTTCCAATGTTTTTTGGCACTGTACTAAAAAACACCTGTGAGGATACAGGTCAATCGCATCTCAATAGCGGTCAGTTCAAACGAGTTCCATCCCATGGACCCGAATATTATAGGATAACTTTTGAATACACTAACAATCACCAGACTCAGTGACGTTTAATCGTCAAGGTTCACAATCAAGTTTTTTTTATTCAAAGGTACCATGTAACAGACGTTCTGTCGCAGACCCCACAAAACTCTTAAAAGAAGTCAAAACCGCTACCTATCACTTGGAAATAGCTTGGATTCGATCGAGGTTAAGTGTGTTGGTCGTAAACCGACTTTTTTTGTCAGATGGCTGTGATGAAGCATGTACGACGTGAGCATCACTGGCTGGTGTCAGTATAAGGTAAACAGCATTACTTTATGATATTTTATTGATGTTTACTATAAGTAGACAGTTACAGCCCTCGTAAAGATTCTCAGGCTGCCGTATTAGCGCATTACACGCGTTTATGTACTAAACACGCGTAGTGCACGAGCTCATTAGAAGCTTGATTTGACGCACCGTCATCTCAGGGTCTTGACAGTGGGTATAGAAGGTCAAACTCAGACTTAAAAAACACTCAGCCCTTACCCACCCATTCATAGACTGAAGATGGGATCAAGCCAGTCATCCGTCCGCCACCTCTTCTCGACGACCGTTCAACCGCGCATACCATTTCCAACTGACATCGCCTGCCTATTCGATAATGCTTTCAGCCCGGGCCTTGGGTACATATTTCCTGACACATGGGAACGTTACCTCCTATTCAACAACCACCTCACGACACGGTGCTATATTGACCGCGTTCTGTTTTGTAAATGTAAAAACGACAAACAACACGAATTCTTGTTGATTTACGTTCGTCATCCGACAAGCGCTGCCCAAGCAATGTTGATTGTCGACCGTTCACTCCCAGCTACGCCACCAACCACTTCGTCTGAATCTGTTCAGACTTCTCCACTGGCAGGATCGGCTATTGCGACTTCTTCATTTTCCAACATACTTACCGAAGACCATATTTACCTGAGCAGAGAAGACTTTAAAGCGCATGCCACCAAACAGTTTAAACCATACACGGTGCTATACCAGCTCACTTTCCCGTTTCCCCCCAACACCACCGAAAGCACTTCCACGCCTTCTGCTCGCCAGCTAAGTGTCCTTCTGAACGTGGTCAACAAGCACGCACCCCCCTGCAGTATTGATGAGCATCAGTGCTACTGGTTTGCCAATACCGTGTTTGACACGGGAGAAGACATACAGTTCACCAAAGGCCCATGCTATACGATCCGAGTACCTAGAATTAAAATTCGACGATCAGGACAGTGTAGAGACGGTATCTGAAGAATATAACAGGGCATGTGATGAGGCGCGTGAAAAGGTGAAGCAGGAAGAGATAGCTCGAGAAGAAAGTCGACGCGCAGTGAGTGAAGAGTCCTTGATGGGTTTTACGTTTATCACTTACCTTTTCCAACAAGCTCATTGAGCAAGGGATAAAAATAGGTCTAGAGCAATTCAAAGGTGATTAAAGCTCATAACGAACAAATGAAAGTTAACAACGAACAACTCAAAGCTCGTAACGAACAAATGAAAGCTCGCGACGAACAAATGAAAGCTCGTGACGAACAAATGGATGCCGAACTGGAACAACTCAGAGCCAGAATACGTGAATATGAAAACCGTGACGGTGACGAAGCAACTTCAGTGGTATAAAGAGATGGTGAATTTGTTTGTCAATCCGTTCGGGCACTAGTTTCAAGACTAATCTGAAGTACCAGATAGCTTATAAAATTGTATCACCATGTAAGGCTAATGAAGTGGTCCGAACGGATGATCTTGTGACTGTTGCTGTCCGGTTCGACGGATCAGAAGCATACCGCCGGAACAAAAAGCAGCGTTTTGATCCAACTTGAAGTGTCAAATGATCTATGCTAGAGAACAAGGATGAGGTAGTGGTACGGATGCCAAGCCTGAGAACAACTTCACATATATCGCCCCTAATTCCCATCCCGGACATTGTAAATATCGTATCTATTTGTTTAGGTGAACGCACCTCAAATTCTATCCTCCCGCTTCTCGTTGTTCACTTTCGTGATATGCTCGACCTTACACACCTACTTTCAACATCTACACCTGTACCAGTGTTCGATGGACACCCTACTTACTCAGCGTCGCCAATATCCTGTTTACCTCATGATGCTTCTAACGTACATGCGCTATCGTTAGGATCACACACAGGAACGCATATAGACGCCCCATGGCACTTCATCGAAGGCGGGAAAACTATTGACCAGTTAGATCTGCGAACACTGGTTGGACGCGCACTCGTGTTAGATGTCCGAGGAAAGAAAGCACACGAGAAGATTGTATGGGAAGATATCGAGAAGTGGGAGGATGTGATGCACGAGGGTGTGATCGTGCTAATCTGTACTGGGTGGTCGCGGTACTGGGGAAAGAGTAATTATGGAGACCATCCGTACCTTGATACCAGCGCAGCAGAGAAGATAGTGGGCAAGGGTGTTCGGGTCATCGGATGCGATACAATGAGTCCCGACGAAGTCGGCACAGACAACCCGACCCATGGCGTTCATCGAATCGTCCTCGGTGCAGGAGGGGTGATTGCGGAGAACCTGTGTAACTTGGAGCAGGTGCTTGAACTGATTGAGCCAGTCGTCAGCCTCCTGCCTTTACGGCTGGAAAGGTGTGATGGCTCGCCCATTCGTGCTGTTGCTTGGTCCTCGGTGAGTCAAAGCCCTTTTGTGCAGCCCGGTGGAACTTGATGGTGAATCATGCTAGGCCCAAGGTCCAGTCTAAGATCACGGTGGATCAAGCGATGAAGACAGTGTGCATTGTATGTTGTACGAATATTCAGCCCGCAGTAGGAAGAGCGGGCTTTGGTGCTTGCTTTGATGTAAGGATATACTACATACAGAAAAGCTACCCAGCCATAGAGTACGTTCTGGTCAGAAACGAGATGCTTATGTAACTGTAGGTCCATGTGTATTTCTCAGCTGGAGAATCCCGCGAGTGCACGTGGCCGACGGAGCGGTTGGCCATATACGGAAGGTGGAAACGTGACCTCCTTTGTGTCAAGGAGTCTTTTCGTGGATTGCCCAACACATGTTCGATTGAAAACCGATAATCTTTGTTCACATCTTTACTTCTTACTGCATTGTGGTCTTCTCAGATTTGACCAGCCGGGTCTTTGCCCATGGGCCTTGGAGCTTGGTTGCAGAATCAGTACGCTCTTTGTTTCATCAGAAAGCTTTGGCACCACTGAAGCAAAGTCATATTTCCCCTTTGTCATTTTATCGGTTTTTTTGTTATATATACACCCACAGAACTGCTATGGTATTTCTGGAAGCCTCAAATCCGATGAAAATACCCAAAGGCGACGAAGGGAGCGCGGGTCAATGGGCCCTTTCATGGGAGACGCATTATCAGGATGTTAACTGGTCATATTCAAGCGTCAAGAAAAAATCGATCGCACCTATTATCTGCAGTAGACTTCCGTATCATTGCAACTTTCACACGTATGGCATGCGTCCCATGCTCAGACTACCATCCACCAGGCAGGAATATGTGGGTGAGTCGAGCAAACATCCGAGTCAACCAACAAGTACTCGGTCAGAGACCACCAAGAAGGAAGACAGGTTATTGAATTCTAGCCTAGCTGGGGTCAAGATTGCTGAAGCTGCGTTGGAGAAATATGAACAAGACGCTGGGTTCCACCATAACGTCATGCCGGATCTGAAACTGGGGCATATGTATAAGGCACAATCCCAGGATTTGTCTTCTCCGATAAGTAAAGAAGACGTTGACTCTGGGAAGTTGCAGTGGGCAGAACTCGTTAAGGAATTTGTTGGGGTAGAATGGCGCGAAGCCCTAGCCAGGAATGTAGAAGGTAATAGCAATTGTCACTAACCTATAACTGTGGTCATTCGTTGATCATACTACTTATCCAGGGTACCGACCGCAGTCATCGACACCATCTGAGTATGATTCAGAGCGCTCAGCAGATTCGGATCCGCTTCCTCTAACGCCAACGCAGAAGAAGTCACTCATAGATATTGCTGTTCGCCCAACCTCCCCCATCTCAGGGTCCCGCGGAGTTACACCGTCAAAGACAATGCACGGGCCCTTGTCATCGTTTGCTCCAATCTCCGCAAGCCCCACGATGTCCATGTCGTGGGTCAACCCAACTGATCCTGTACGTTCCACTGCGCCGTCTCCTACATTTTCCAATTTCACATTTCCCTCGATAAATGCCAATTACCAGTACTTTCCACCCAGTTTGAAGAAAGATGAGCAGGGTTTCTACACCACAGTTACGCCCCCCGGGTCACCGTCAAAGCTGCCAGTTCGCCTAGCACCGGCCCCATTTTCTGTCCTCTTACCGCCGTTTTTGTCCGACCTACATCCGCGTAACCGTAAAGTATCGAAGACTCGCGAAATTATTGACCAGCTTAGGTCCGCAAGTGCAGCTGAGCGGGAGAAGACCAAAAGTCGAGTTCGTCCCAGACCAAGGTCTGCTGCGTCAGAGCGCGATCGGACGTTTCATTCGTCCTCGCCTTCTCTCGTGGGTGAGACAGACAGTCGTGATAGTGGATTGGCTGAGACTATCAAAGAAGACGATGCCGATGCAAAAGCTCGCCGTACTCACGAGCTTGTCCAAGCATTGAATCGCCCTCGTCCATCATCATTTGATGTCATGACCTCCCAATCAGCGAATACCGAAAAACCCGCTAATGCAACCATTCTTCCTGTAGATGGCAGCAAGTCAGCGTTGGATTCGCCTACGCAGCCTCAGCCCCAGCGGCATCCTAGAAAAGCTGCAGCACGTCACACGCGTAAACCGTCTTCAATCTCCTCAACGTCGTCTTCTTCGATTCACTCACATATGCCGTATCCGTTGCTTGCATCTTCACCTACGGCTCCAAAGCCATTCCCGCATTCGTCATTCCATGCATCTTCTTCTGTACCTTATCCTATGCAATTCCAGCCGCACCCTACAGCCAGGCCTGGCCCGTTTCACCCTATGTATTCTTCTATGTATCCACTCTCGTATGGTGCTCCTCCCCCTGCCTTTCAGCAGCCAACCGGACAAATAGGTCCGTCGTCGGGAGGGTGGGTTCCTGGGTATCCAGGGTATCCTCCCCCACCAGCGGCTACTGTATCATTTTAAAAAGCGACTATCGCAGGAGCCTCGAGCACGGCTCATACGCAGTGGTGAGCGTCTACTGTTTTTCTTCCTTGTACGAATGGCGAGGTATCATTGTTGTTGTAAAGTGTTAGTGTGTAGCTGTATTTTTTACTTGACAAATTCATCGGACACTTAGTTTTCTTTGCTCTATGTAACTTCTGCTATGATTATCTTGTGTTCTTGGATTTTTTGTAGTGCCTCTGGCAACAAATAGAATAAACTGTGGACTTCTCTATACGTTGTTTGAGCATTTGCTGTATCCTCGAAGCTTTGGTATTGTTCAAGGTATATTTGTTAGAACGCAATACTAATTAAAAGTGGCTGCTACATCCTAGCTGGGGTGTACTGCGTCAGCGGTGCCGGAAATCTACATCATCATAGCTCGACAACAAGAGTCCAGTCGCTCACGACAGTAACAGCTGGATCCTTGACGACCAACACACCAGCTTGACCCTCCTTTCCACTCGATACGCCAGGGGCATAATCCCAATCAAGTTCCTTACCTCCCTCAACTCTCACGGCCTTCGGTTGCTTGCCTAGCCCAACGAGCACAATTTTTTCTACTCTTACATGCGCTATCTTCTTTGCGTAGGCATTCGCAGGGTCGAAGTGCGCAAGCGCGTTACCTTCCACAGCTTCCTGGGGTTTCTCCAAGGCCAAGTCCTTGCTACTAACGCGCAATACTTTGCTTTTCTTTTCTGTTTCAGCGGTGAACTCGCGCCACACGATTTCACCATCCTGGTGGGAGTATGTTTCTCCATCATCAAGGTAAAGTTCGCCGCGGGCAGAACCGACTTTGTCAAGAGCGACGCGAAGTGTGAATGGATCATACTTCATCAGTGGGGATGAACGTCGGTGCCGTTCCCTTGTGGGAATGATAGACCCGCCACGAACAAGGAGAGGGATCTGGTGCAATGCTGCGGGTACTGTGACATATTTACCTTTTACCGAGCCTTGGTGAGCATAGTGTGCGAAGTAGTCATAGTAGACCTAGAGTGGTTATTAGTCAAAAAAAATACATGACAGTAGGATAAACAAACCTGATCTTCAGCCAGGTATATCGATGCTTCAGTGGCCCCCTTTTCAGTAACTGGCTTCACAAGTAAACCAGATGCTCCAACGTAGAACTGGTCATCGATGGCGAAGCCGGCTTCATCCTTGGGGAACACGACATACTGAGGTCTGTTTCATCCATTACAATTGAGTCCCATCCACCCAATTCGTTGCGAACTTAGTACACACCTTAGGATGGGGATACCAGTAACTGTCGCTTCCCTAAACGCTGTATACCACATTGGGAGCATCGCGTACCTAAGACGGATGGTGTCGCGCAGGATTGATTTGTATGGTTCATCCAAAAGGTAGGGCTCACGACGCTTCGTGTCGATGTGTGCATGCGCCCGGAAGAAGGGCGAAAAGATACCAATAGCATACCATCGTACGAGCATCTCAGGCTCAGGATTACCGAAGAAGCCTCCAACATCCGCTACGAAAGACTGGCATGAGCAACACGGATACAAAGTGAATCCATCGCCACAACATAGAAAACTCACAGCCTCCAAAGGTCATACCACCGATACCGTTGGCAAGGGCCATCTTAAGATTAACGGTCATGTGCTCCCATGTCCCGAGGTTGTCACCCGTCCACATAGCACCAAAGCGCTGAGAACCTGCGTAGAAGGACCGTGTTAAGACAAATGGCCGCTTGGGCGGGTCAGAACGCGCAGCAACAGCTTGGTATGTCATGTTTGTCTAAGAGGTCACCTTCAATAATGAGAATGCAGTATATGGGTAAATTATTTACGAAGAGCATGCCATTGATGTTGTGAACATCTCGGTGTTCCCAACCTCCGTAATGTACGTTGTCCTTCGGCATAGTTATTTCTGGACCGTTGAACACAGATGGCTGCGAATGTTATATTTAGTCACGTCACAAAGAATATACTGAATTTCATTTACTTCGTTCATGTCATTCCATATATGCACGGCGTCTGTGCTCTCCGTCCAGGACCATTGACCGTCGATAGACTTGGTTTTGAAGAGCCCTTTCCAGAATTCCCAGCTAGCGGGGTTGAAACCATCTATCCAAGAAGAGCTTCCACTCCAGCACCAACCTTCATACTCACCCTCTCCACTCTTAGGTTTGACAAGCACGGCGAGCTCGGATGCTTTCTGATAAACAGGGTACGAAGAGGTACGCTTTAAATGAGGGTCGATGATAACGACCATCTAAGTGCGTCACACGTATGCCTGTCAGCTTGTTCGTAACTGCCACACAAGTGTGAAAATTCACCTTTCTTTCTAATGCATCCACGTCATTAGTCATTTCCACGGGATCCGGGAAAGTTTTCTTATCCCAAATAAAGTACTTATGTTCTTCAGCATATTCGATGTCAAGCCAAAAGACATCCACTGGAATATCTTCTTCATCGAACCTTTTCTGTACTCCACGAACATCGTCAGAGCTCACGTAGTTCCATCGGCACTGGTGATAAGCGAGAGACCAATGAGCGGGAAGCGCAGGCGTTCCAGTTAGTCGCGCGTATTGTGCGAACACTTCTTCAGGAGTAGGACCGGGCAAGATAAACACGTCAAGGATTCCAGACTCTGATACCCAATGTGTCTCTGTAGAGCGGTCGTTCGAGCGCCCTATGTCAATCCACGTTTCAGATCCGACGGCATTGAAGACAGCAACAGTTGATTCGGCTGAGTGTGCGTGCATAAGAGGGATGGAACCATAGAGCGACATGGACGAGGATGCGAGGTACTCGAATACATCAGCATTATACAAGCGGTATGGATCAGTGAATGTAGCAGAAGGTCCAGTTGTGGTGGGCAGAGAAAGGCTGGTCGCATGCTGAGGAATACCATATACGTGACCGTGCCTCGGGAAATTGATGTCAATGGAAAGGGACTCAGGTCCTGGTTCAAGTCTGAGTCAGGAACATTAACTGTAAAATACATCACGCGTACCCTTGGGCTTAGAGTCGGTCCACGAAGAGAATGTCTCCTCCCACCAGGCGTCTTCAGTATCGCCTTCAAACCAGGCTGCAGGATTAGTTTGCATGACAGCCTGTGCATCTCCCTCAGATCCTTCTACAGGTTTGTCATCTCCAGAGGCTTTTGTCCTGAAGTGCTCCATGTGCAGTAAACCACGGCCGTTCAATACAACTTCCTCTTTGCCATTTCGCGACAATGTAACTTTCAGAGGGTTATACTCGACAGTTACTTCCACATCCTTCTTCTCGCCGTATTTCGCCTTGATTTCCTGCTTGCCTACTGACCATTGGATTGCTCGACTGATTTCTGGCTCTTGTACAAGCGCCCATGACGCTGCCTCGTCGTACCTTTTTCGCAAACCGCCTACTTCGTCCATTCGCACCCTCACTACCCCGTCCTTGTGCACTCGCACATCCAGCTCAAAGTTTATTTCTGGGTAAATCGAAGACTTGACGGCCGCAGTGAAAGACGCCAGATTTGAAGCCACAGCGACGGACGAAGGGATCACAGAATACGGGGACTTCCACACGTCTGCTGCATCCTGTGCTCGTGCAGAAAGCGCGCGACCTCGACGACAAAATCCTGACTGGGAGCATGTTTTCCAGTCGCCCGTTTTAAGAGTGTGTGCTGCAGGCGTCAGTAGCAGTAGAAGAGCTGCAACAAATGATGGAGACCACATCGCAATGGCCTACAAACGCGCGTTGCTCTTGTGACTTTGGCGTTTGTTCTCTACCTGTTCTATCCAAAAAATAGAACTATATAGAAAATGAAGTTATGGTGAGGTGTTAGAAAGAAAGTGCGAAGTCAACGCAGAGCTGCTTGAAGTACCCACAGTGCAGCGTTCCACGTATAAGCTTGTACTGGCCATGGACCAGAACCATGGACCTCAAAGACCCCCGCCACCCCTAAGTAAACAGTAGACTGTAGATATGATTGCAGACATGATTATATCAACTAGAACTGCATATCTCCAACCTTCGACATAAGATATAGTATGTCTGTCTATCTCATACTATCACTCTATAGCTGTAGTATATAGGAAAGTACAACAGAGGAAACAAATGTTATCATGATACAAGTCCTTTAATTTCTTTAATAAAAGCCGAGATATCAGTCTTACACTCTAACCGATCCTCGTTTTGTGAGAACAGTGTCTCAAAAGCAGTATTCGACTCGGCAGTCTATCAAAACAAAAAAATTCGTTAGATGACCTGGGCAGGAACAGAAGGAAAACCTACATCTCCATCACAAAACTCTAAATCCTGCCAGGTCTCGTCTTCTTCAGCACGTATTGCTAGCAGCATGTCTCTTCGTACAGCAGATAAACCGCCTTGAAGATTACCAGCCTTGTCGTCCGCAGCCTTTCGTGCTGAAACCTGGACCTCCCTCACGTCTGCGACCTTTTTCTCCTTCTTAGGTGCAGGAGCGGGAGCCGGTTCGTCTGGATCGGGTGGAGGTCCATCATCAGAGTCAGAGTCCGATCCACCCCCTCCTCGAGAACGTTTGTTTCTGCGTGACAGTATATCCAGGTATGTCAGCGTAGGACGAAATTGGTGTGCCTCTGTTATTGGGTGCAGATGCATATGACCTGAAAACAAAATGAAAGGTATGAGATATCAAACAAAATAACTCGAGCCTAGACATGATCGCACCATCTCGGACAATACCTAGCATATATGCACCCTGTTTTGGGATTTCTTCACTTCGCAGACGGACTTCACCGAGCCTGAGCTCCTCGCCCTCCTGTTTACCCTTGACAATATCTTGGTTTTTCTCGCGATCATCATCTGCCCGTGCACCGCCCAGTTCTTTGCTGCGCTCGCCATTCCACACCTCCGGCCGAGTATCTACTGGTACATGGAGTTCCAGCCTATGACTGTTGGGCTTCACGCGTGCACGGATGCGTTTACCGGTTAGTGCAGCTGAAGGCGGGGTCTGGAGTGGTCGGGTGAGGAGAGGATATTGGTGAATGTGGATGTTAGGATGTAAGGCCGCAGAATAGTGGATAGGCAGAACGTTGATAACTTCGTCCTCTTCGTTCATTGCAGAAATTCTGTCGAATCATATCGATTCCGCAACAAGGCCCCGAGCGCTCGATGTCCCGGGAAATAAAATAAATAGTATATTCAGACCCCGCAAAGTAGGGGTTAAAATATGATTATGTAACGAGGGGTCGCTAGGGGTCTGAAGTCATACCGATGGGCAACTCAGTTCACTCCATATTATGCTGCAGTGTGTGAGATCACCCCACGGTATTGGAGCATTGGATCTCTTATGATGCTACAGTAAGGATACCAGCCCTTGCAGCTAATCCACCTTATTATCTTTAGGACAGCATGGTTCACGAACTACAACACCAGCCCGCTCGCGGCTTGTATCTAGCATACCAAATCATATCCACCCTTTTCTTTCGCCTACCATTCTGGATTCTCGTATCTATTCCTAGACCTTGGCGTCCAAGGCCATCGTGGTCGCTAAAGCGTTGTCTTTGGGTCAATCTTATACGCCATGTCAGCCAGATTTTCTACAAGTGAGTTCGCTCGTCTAACCTCGAAGTATTTCTTAACGAGTTCTTGCATAGAACAGGGCCCATCTTCATATCTCCTTCTCATCTCGAGATCCAAACAGGTCCAGGGATCAGAGGTGTCTGGGTTGAGGTAGCTACCGCGAGCAGACTTATTACTGGAGACCTCGCAACATGGGCGTCCATGGCAAACGTCAAGTCTGTCAGAATCCCTGGCTATTGGCTAGATCGAGAAGGGTCAGAAGTCAAGGTCGGGGAGCGTCTCCAATTGAACCCCGGAGAAAAGGTTTTGTATCGCCTCCACGGCGGAAGCTACATACAATTATCTGCGCACTCGGACGATCCTACTGCCGCTATTGCGCGTGATCTGCTCAAACAGTGTTGTTCCCTCGCATGCGCATTCTCTATTGAATACCGCCTTTCAGCATCAGATCCTCACCCTGCGCGCAATCCATTCCCCGCAGCGCTTATTGACGCGCTGGCTGGGTATAGCTATCTAGTCAATTCCATAGGTATACCGGCTTCTGCTATTATTATCGAGGGGGATTCATCTGGTGGGAACTTGGCGCTGGCGTTAGCCCGCTACCTTGTCGAGTACCATGACAGTCCTGATGTTGATCTCCCCCCACCACCCGGGGGCCTTATTCTATTCTCACCACGGACCGACATGAGTTGCTCGCATGAAACCCCCGACTCTTCCGCGCTCAACTTCTTTAAATCGGATATCTTGGGACCCGAAATCATTGGGCGATCAACCTACCCCAAAAACTCCTATCTCGGACCCCATGGATTTGATGCAGCCATGTACAATCCATACATATCTCCTGCATCGCGTTACATCAAGGAAATTAGTTTCAAGGGGTTCCCAAGGACTTTCCTTGTCGCGGGAGGCGCAGAGTTATTCAGAGACCAGCTGCGTACACTGAGGAATGACATGGCGCGTGATATGGGTGAAGGCGATGATACTGGACAGATCAGTTATTATGAGGCGCCAGATGGGATACATGTATACGCCATGTTTGCCTGGCATGAACCGGAGAGGAGTGATACCTTGAGCGCAATCGCACAGTGGATCGATTGGGAGAAGGACAATCTGAACGCTCAAATAGTATAGTCGCAATGGAATATTTTAGGACTGACAGACATGTAATGTTAGCTTGAGCTCGTTATGAATGCATGATATATCACGATTTGAAATTGTTGTCATTGAAAATACAGTGCTTCACTTGCAGTTTAACTAGAATACACATGACGATATGCAATATTAATAAGTGAAAGTAAATGTGCGTGAAAGCAGATTCGTTAATTGTCATCCCATTTGGGAATGGGTGGCCGAACGGGGAGTTTTCTCATCCCCTTCGACCGGATATTTTGATCTCCTGCTTGCGACTCGTTTGACTCCAGTGGTTTGGAACCTCCATTGGAACGATTCAGTGGGTTGCTAAATTTTTTGTTTGATATCCCCTCCGTGAAGGATGGTTTCGATGGGCTCAGTTTGTCCAAGAGCAATGAAAACTGCCCTTTGCTAGAAGGGGTCGGAGGTGATATGGACCACGACTCGTCATAGACGCTCTTAGAATACTGTAATACACAGATATTCAGAAAAATTATTAATCAACCAAGCATATCAACAAAGACCTACGTTGTCACTCCACTTCTTCTTCGGCATAGGGGGACGTCTTACCCTCAATTTGAGAGTTGGCTTGTATGAGGATGGGTGGATGGGTGGGGTGCTAGAGATATAACAGCTTTCGGAAAGGGATATATCGCCGAAAGCGGTGAGTGTGTGCTCGTCGTCGGAGTCGGCATCACTGCTCTGAGTGTCAGAAGAGTCGGAGCTCTTAGATTCCAGATCATGAGCGTCTTTAGCAAGGATTCGAAGCCTGGGAGGGCTATCTTGACCGGCAGATTTGGAATTGGGCGATCGTTTGCTAAAGGTTGAACGCCACTACTATATGTTCAGCAGGAGAATATAGCAAAATTCATGGAGTTAGCTTACCGTAGTCTTAGAATTGGACATGTTGACACGACTAGTCGAGTAAAGATGATGGCGCAGAAGGTGAAGTGAGGAATGGATACAGCATACCATTTATACCAATCATGAAGGTCCAAGCACAAAGGATGGTTCTATTGTGATCTTCATGGCGACCAGTTGTCCACAACCACAATTTCACCAAAGGCAGTATTATGGCCACCTTCCTGAGTATTATTGTTCACGAAGAGGCGCCAATGAGCATTCGAGACACGAATAGGCGCGAGAAATGGCCACTGGCAGTGTGGCCATAGTCACGGTCTGAAATGAACATGAGTGACGACTCAAAGAGAGGCATAGCCACAAAATAAATACGCAACCATAACGCGTCCGTTCACGTGACCTGAGTTTCCTGTTTACACGACACGAGACTCGTTCTGGCACGACGCAGGCCAAAGCTGCAAATCTCAGCTGTACCGGACTCTTGCAATTTTATGCTAGCTGGTATTTATTAGCTGAAGACTACGTGACCTTTACCAAGATATTCTCAGCAGCTCTCGACTTTTCTCCAACCCTAGTCAAAGCAACGGTGGTGCTGACCATCTTGCCATGTTCCAAAGCGCATGTGTAACAGCTCCAGATATCACGATCACGCAGGCGACACCGACGAAGGATCCAAGCGTAACTAAGGTATCTACCACTCCACAAGGGAGCAAGAGTTCACCCCACCGTCTGTTATATCGCGGGGCTCTGTCTCTTCCAGACTCTCATCTTCTTCTCGACGGATTGACGTTCTTCGCGCGTCTTGGTGACAATGCTACGAATCCCAATGGTATCAGCACAATGGAGCTCTTGGATAACCCCTTGGCACTCGCCTTGGAGAGTATGCGTGGAAGGCCCACCTTGCGATTCAAAGGGACCACGAAACTAAAGGACTTTTGGTTGGACACTTCTGGTGATGTTTGTATGTGAGCAAATTATGGCTTATCACTTGCATCAAACGTGTGATAATTGCTGTCGGCGACCTCGTTTGTTTATTCAGGGACATTCACCCTTACGCTACTCTCACTCGTGTATACTTTGAGAACATACTCTGCCTAACTCCTATCTCATCTCTTGATGGAAGGAGCGATTCAGGTATCCGCGTTTCTCTTGGAGACAGTGGTACGCATATAGTTATTCCCACTGTCAGCATAATATCTATAATTCCATGTAGACGGCCCAGACACGACCGAGATCATCATCTACGGCAAACTTTCTCATGAATGTCTTCCATCCACCTCAGCCTCTCCTCCCGTGCAGATCCACGTCGCACGAATAACGACCGCACCCCGTTCTGTTCCACGCCGTCCCCGGCCTGACGATCCTACACCTCGCAAACCTCCATCTATACTCAGTGCTAAGCGTTCACTTGATTCATATGACATGGTCAATAATAGTAAACGAATCAAGTCCAGTTTGGGCACAGGGAAAGGGAAGGGAAAGGCCGTAGATGAAGACGAAACTCTTAAGAGAGCGAGAGAAGTGATGTTGCACTTGCCCAGACAAGGTTCAGGGACGATATCACAGAAGGGCGAACCAGTGTTCAAAGTTCCTTTACTCCCTTCAAGAGCTGTATTGAAGCCAAAAGGCGGCGGTAAAGGGAAAGTTAATCCCAATGTAGAGATAGACGTTTTCGGTGCAGTTGGTCATCTGGATAGCAAGGACAAGAATAAGAGGAAAGCAGAAGAGAATGATGCTCTTGTGGAAACCGAGGAAAGTGCATGCGATTTTGAGCAAGCCAACAAAGTGGTACGCGTACCCTTTCGAGTTGCTCGTATTCATGCATTTATTGATGCTCACGTCAATCAGGTGATCAAAAAGACAGCGGTGAAGTACCTTGGTGCTGCAGGTATCGGAAAAAACCACCCCGAGTTCAAGGAACTATTTGGTTTCGTTTACAGAGGGACATCATTTGCTCTAGTAGGTCTGCGATCATAGTGTAACTGAGGATAAAGTTGACGATCCTACCTTTCAATTTCCAGCGGACGAAGATCAAAGTGTTGCATATGAGCGGTAAAATGGTGAATGATTTAGTTGATGCACATGTCAAGTTGTATATTCCCCCATCGGAAGGTGGCTCCAGTTAAATTTCATGATATAGTGCGAGTGGGTATCTTCCCTTTCAATTACCTGTTCTTGCGGTATACTGAAACTTGCAAGGTTTTATATTATTTTTGATTGTAGAATGGCAGTAATTCATCATGTCATTCCCATTCTTTCCCTGGTATATGCAGCAGGGAAGACACATAACGGTTCATGGACTCACAATGACGCCATTTTCGTCGTTCCACCGGCCTCTCTGCGGTATGCAATGTAGGAATTCTCAAGATGCAATGCAATATCTGTCGAGTCAACACCGTCAGAATGTCAACAATGGGCCACTTCCCTTTCCTTGCAATCGCCATCCATTTAACTCAGTGTCTTCCACGTTGAGCCACTCTAAATGAAGCAAATGGATTTCTAAAATACTATGTCTGACAATTCGCGATAAAAAAAAGTCTGATGCCAACTAGGACAACAGAAATGATACGTCTCGCCGCGAGAGTATTAACGCAGAGTGTCAATACTTTTGATGCTGACTTAGGGCCAAGGAGTCGCATATTTCCGCAAAAAAGGGCTCATCTTGTGCATGTCTTTCCAATTTAACATATAGCCGAGACTCCGACACTGCCCTTCGTGAGTTTGTAACTGATATCATAGTCCATGTAAATACACTAATTCTAAATTTTGCAAGTAGATTGTATTTTGGGTAGGCTATTTTCACGAGGCATCGGCTTTTATCGCGAAGTCTTTCCATATCGTACCAGATGCACACCAAGTTTCATACTCTTCGTTTGACCTGTGAGTTGTTCAAAATCCGGTTGCTTCTGCTAACCTCTTGGCAGTCATCTTTAATACTATGCTCATGGCAACCGATCCGAGGCGGCCGATATCATTCATCGAACAACGTACAAAATAAACATAGGCCGGTATATGTATATTGAGCAAACGGTTATGAACGACCTCTACCTTAGGTCCTTACCCGATATGGAAACTCGCCAGGCAAAGATAGGGGCCTCAATCCGTTCAAACTCACTGTCCTTCTCGCTCTGCTTCTACATTTAGCAAAAGTATTCAATGTTTCGACACATTACGATTTCCAAGATTGAACGTACCATCTTGCAACTGTGATCTTGTAAAATATGCTTCCAATATTTTTATAGCTGGAGATCAGAAGTGATGTCTGGAGGCGTACAAACAAGTACAACCCGGAGTCAGTGTAACTCGGAGTGACACTGATTCCCCGTGTTGACTCGCTACTCGCTTTGCTTCTGGTTGCCGTAGGTGCCACGATTAGCCCATGGACTTGACTCGGACTTGTCGATCAAATGGGGCCACGACTGTGGTGTGAGGTCGTTCATGCAAGAAATGAACGCACACATATTTCCAATATAAAAGTCCACTACTAGTGAGCCACCGTAGTAACCGCATTTACCTCACACCTTCCCTCCTTTCGATTAAACCTTTTCTTAACGTTGCGCTTCCCGGAGAATGAGCTCAGTTACTCGGTGTGTCCTTTGAAAACATATACATTATCATGCTAATGCTGCCTATAGTCGACATATCAAACGTCACGGACAAACTGAGCCACAGGCCTCGTGAGCATCCCTTATTGCCATATTCTATACTACAACTGATCAATTTTGCAGGGCTATATTTCTGGTAGGTTACCTTCACAAAGTAGCGACTTGGATAGTAAATAGTTTGAGATTACTCAGTTCGCCGCCTACACATTAGATTTCATGTTTTTCGGGATTTTGATCTTGCAATGCTGTAAGCATTAATCAGAATATTCACCACCTTTACTTCTATTCCCCTAGACAGTCATCTACCACACCAGGTTCAGGGCGAGCGATTCGAAGTGGCTGAGATTATTCGGTGAGCCAATTGCCCAAAATAGTGGTGTGGTCCTTCACGAGCACTGAACAACACCCACTATCCTCGAAGTTTGTTCTGTCGTCGTTTTGGAGTATTCGAGTTGCGCCTTCAAAATATATGAATTCCTAGCGAAGGTTATATACGCCGGGAGCAAAATTCACCATGTGGATGGTATCACAATCATTTTCATACTAACAGGATTAAGTACGCCTTTCAGTTCTGTTTCTATAATTCCCTTCCATAATATACGTAGTATCCTCCATGGTACACGCGTTTTATTGTTGGAGAATATGGATCATTGGACGATCTCTTGCGATACCGAGTATGATAATGGTAGTAAGCAACTCACCTATGTGTTGAGTTCTATGTTTTTCGTCAATTGATCTTTGCCTACTGTATTGCAGGTGTCAGTGGTTCAATGCGCAGCTGCCATTGCCACAGGACTTTCGGCCAATGAAGTAAGTCCATTCATATTTCGCTCGCTGACGCTAGCTGATAAAAATACCCTTTTAAGTATATTACCATCGTGCCTTCTGCTGTACGCAAACTCTGTAATGTGTAAACGAATCAGTGTTCAACATGGTATGTCTCAAATCTAGGTCTGGGCCGCAGGGAGTTGCCTCTGTGACATCCTGATTACTGTTCACACTACACGTCTGGTCAGGATGATATTTAGTATCACATCATTTCTGTCGTCTCACAAGGAAGTCATAGCTCCTCCGGGAAAACTCGATAACAGGATTTAGGAACACCAAATCAATCATCGTGAAGCTCGTGAAATTGACCATCGAAACAGGGATGGTCACTGTCATTCCTACCTTCTCACTAGCGGTATTGTTATCTGCGGGTATCTTGTGGGAATACTCAATGTATGGTTCTATCGAAACTCTGGAGGTCTTTATTCCTGACCTTCGGTCACCAGGCTATATTTACTGTCAACGCTGTATATTCCTAGTCCTCTACAAATTCTCACATCCATTAATTACTTTTATCAGCTACGCCAACTGCTTGCTTGCTACTTTAAATGCTCGTATCCTGATATCGGACTCTCCGGAACAATATCAAGTCTCCACAGCACTTTTCAACGGTAGTGAAGACAACAGTGACCAAGGTATGGAGCTTATGCAACACTCATAAATCTAGCACTTTGGGCGAGCTTCATCGCCAGACGCTCATACTAGTATTACGAGTTTGAGGCGGGAGAACACCCGTGTTTCTGGTCTAGGATTCCTCCAACTCGTCTCGTTCACGACGACAGCTATATATTGGATAGTCCCGTTCGTTCGTTATGGCGATACATAAGCTATATCAAGAAGAAGGACGTGACAGCGTTACTAATGGTTGAGAGTTCTATTGCTTATCTCATGTCCGAGCCTGATTTTATTTATGTTTTTTATCTGGTATTTCATTTGCTTCAAAAATCATACGCTATGTATTGAGTAGAAAACGTATGCGCGCGCCGCGCACATGAGTGGAGGAGAACGGCGTATCATGCAAGTTTCTAGAAAGCTGGGGTACTAATTTCAGGCTCAGCGGCAGAAGCAACGGCAACATCCAAGGCCCAACAAGATACACGGAATACAAAAACTTTTGTTTCAAGTTAAACTGATGTAGTAAGGATACAGGTGCAATGTATCAGAAGGGCGTGATGCGTACGAGACAATACAAGTAAAATGAAGCGTATCCATGTAATATATCAAGAATACAATATAAGCTTCTATGGGCAGTCTGTTTAAACAGGACAAGCCATCACTTCAGACCGAATTCCCTCTTCTTGAGGCTGTTGTCCGTACATGAGCTGCTGAAGTGGTCTTCTCCAAAGCTCTTCTCTAAACTGCTCGTGCGTCTGTGTCACGACAACCTCGATGCCACCACATCCGTTGAAATCTTTATATCTTTCGGTTTGACCGAAACCTACATCCTCCTCGAAGGCATTGGATGTGTCAAAGCAATTGAGGGCATTCACAAATGGGCTCGCTTGACGAGAAAATGGGCTGGTAGGGCGAGAGAAGGGGCTAGTGGGCCGCGAAAAAGGGAGGTGGGCCAATAAGGGAGTTTTAGGGGTAGGCATAATGACGGTGCGCGTGATGATGAAATCATCCCTATCGAATACATCAATCCGCTGGACGTCAGATGAATTCTGTTCCTCGTCAAGGGTAAGAGATGATGAGACGGGAGATGAATCAGATGAAGAGAATGTGAACGCGAGAGAAGAATCCGTGGTAGTGTCACTTTGTGACGAGGCTAAAGTAGAGGATCCAGCTGATACGAGGTCTACCGGGACCGAGTCGTAGTCGTGCCAGATTCCCCCAACTCGGTCGTTCACGGAATTGGGCTGTGCATCCTGAGTCGTCGCAGAGAAAACAAGGCCCATATTTCTCTTTAAGGGGAAGTCGAAGTTGGTGACAAGTTGCATGGTCTGAGAGAAAACAGGCTTCAAACACGAGGCTACCTGGCGGCGGAGAAGAGAACTCACGTGTTGCCTCGAGGGATCGAACCTTTGTGCATCCATGGCCTTGAGTCTTCCGTCTTCCATGATGCTTCAGTCAGCGCGATAACGACTGTTCGGAAATAAGGTGTGGAGAGTGACGATAAGGTTATAGGGCTGGAAATAATTGACTCCCCCTTTCCACGGGGCATTTTATACCATTTTACGAGGTCGTAAACGAACAGAGGTTGCTTAAAGCAAATATGGCCACCTATTTGTGGTGGACGAGGGACTGGTCCACAACGTAGCCACGCATTATACGCTTGACGCCACCATGTGTAAATCGACGACAAAAGATCACAGCTCTCTTTGTGCTACGAGAAGCACAAGCCAGAGAGACGCTTTACGGCAAAAGGCCCCGTTCCATGCCTGATGAGCAAATCGAAAGAAGCATCTGTTTGAGGCAAGGAGTATATAACTGTGCCCTACACTTTGATGTGTAGATACACGGCTGTTCAACCCACTTTCCTTTCAGCTACTTCCAACAACGCTACACAACTCACAATAGCATGGCAGGCCAGGTACGTCAAGTAACGATATTCCGTTCGAATTGTATATTGAGTTCGTTGCGTTTAAGCAGATCCAGCTCAAGGTTCCGCCTCCAAGTCGTTCAGGGTTGTATAGACGATGCGCTATACCTCCTAAACCGCTGAACCTACGAGAGCGAGTAGAGATACGGGTTGCAAGGCGAGCAAGGCGAGCGTCAGCCACACTCTTGATGGTGAGAAACCTGTATCATGAGTAATGTGAAGTTTGGGCTCATCAACTTTGGTCATAGATACCACCACAGCGAACAGTCGATCAGGTGGCTCGCACTTTTCTGGCTTACCACGGCACCAGTAAAGCCGAGAGCGATAAAGCGGTCCATAGGCCTTAAATTTTATAATACCAGACTGCTGGGATTGAGGATAATTTATGGTGATCGTTGAATGGACTGAGGATAGTCTAGACGCCTCCACAGAGACAAACTTTGATTGTATGATTGTATTCTGACTGATAATATAATATTGCTGTAAATTTCTAGAAAGCAAAAACAATCCGTTCATCCTTGAAAAGATCCATGATAAACTTGAAGTACCGAAACAAGCTTGGTATAGTAGCGTGAGGAAGATGCCGCCCGAGCTTGGGATGGAAAGCAGCGAAACCACGATGTGCGGACGTGTCAGGGCCTTAACACTCAGATATGATGCTGAGATAAACAGGGACCAGGGCGTGATACAAGCAGCCAGAGTTTCTATCATGATGGTCAACTGCAAGCATTGTTAGCTTAGCCGGTTAGCTGGCTGCTGGGTGGGTGCACTGATGACACGTGCGAACTCTGTTCCCACCACAGTAGCCGAATAACTGCAAGGTGACTTGCAGCAGACATTCTTGAGTTCCTGGCTGTTTCACTCAAGTGACCATACCTTGAGGCCCTTCGAAGTTAAAATTTATTGCCTGGACTCAGCAAGGCCTCAACGTTCGCGTTACTTTCAAAATGCCAGCTCAACACCCACTTCCGCGGTCCTTCATCAGCCTGTATCGCTTGTTCCTTCGAACTGCTGGCGCTGCCGTTCTCCAACACCCGGGTGCAACATCAAATATTAGAAGACTTTGGAGGCCAACGTTTGAAGGTGCGGCTCAAGTAACACGTCAATTACAATGTAACTCAGTAACTGCACGCGAACGAGAAAACCTTGAGAGGTGGCTTGCGGATTGGGAGAACAGAAGTTAGTTCAATGTTGTCGATCTCACCTCGGGTGTACTAACGTCCGCCCTTCTGTCAGTGGATAATTCTCTATCTCTTCTATGCACATCTGCTCAATCGAGTGGTGTTAGCCATAGGCTGACGCGCAATCTCAACCGAATAATAAGGTCCCATCGCGACTGGGTTCGGAGGGAATATTGCAACCACAGACAAACGTGGAGACCTCAACTAGATCCTTCATCTCCCGAATATCTGCCTAAACCGATCCCCTTGGAAGGCTCAAGGCCTGGCAAAGCTCAAGAAAAGAAGCGGAAAATCAGACAATTTGACGAGAATGGTTGGAAGGCCTTGGGAGAGGTGGTACGGATGGCAGAAGGCAGACACAGTATCACGCTCGGACGCATTCGATTGAAGCGTGACGCTTCATAATGCAGAGGTATGCATATATCTATTGTGTTATACACCACAAGATACCTCCGTTTGAGCTGATACACCAGCTATTTTGATCTCTAGGCAAGCCACCATCACATTTTTCTCATCGTCCTTTTCTTTGAACTAGGGTTTGTCTTGATGCGACTCTCTCGGGGCCAGCACCGGTCGGTCCATATTTGACGCCACCTGCTTTTCTTCGAATTATGGGGACTCGATTCGAAACAATAATAGGTTGCGGCTTCATGGCAGTTCCATACACCATATCTTCACGCACTTATTGTACCCTGACACGTCAAAGCATTCTACTGCACGCCTAAACCTCATTCGAGCGTATAAATGTCCCGGTGCTTGTCTGACTTTATTGTTGTGATGTCAAAGATAAGTCACGTGATGCAACGCGGATACTGTGGAAACCTTGCATGACAATAATGAATCGCAATTGTAAGTGATCATCTCATGCGCATTGATGATCTCCAGCTTGGGCCATGGGTTTGTCAATATAAGGACTTGGACAACATTGTTCATCTGTTTCATTTCTAACGCCCGCGCAGCTGTGCTCCGCCTTCTCACTCGTTACGGTTGTAGACCTGTCTTGTCGATATGACTACCATTCCCTTCGTCGGTCATGAAGTTGCTGGGCAACGTCTACGCAACTGTTCTCGCAAAGATTTTGCTCATGAACGCATCATACAAACTACTGACTACTTCTTAAACGACCCACCAGTATACTCTCCTTCTTTGTACATGGATAGCATGGCGATAGAATCCTGGATAGTTAAAACAGAAGAGCATGTGAGTAGCATTCCTCTTGCATACAATATGAAGCACCAATTGATGATTCCATTAGATGGAAGCCTTATCTATTGACTGTCAAGGTTTCAAGTGGAGCGACGAACTCATTGGCTCTGACGCCCGCGAGATACATAACTTAGCCTCTATGCACACGTTCGAGGAAGAATGTGACTCAGACAGTAGCCTCTCAGACGACTCTCACTGCCAACCCGTTTCAGAACCCAACCTCAAAACAGTTGATCGTGGCACCCACGACATACAACTTAATACTGATGCAGATGCGCAGTACATCACAATTCCTTACGACAGTCCATGGTACCGCCCGCCCATGCCCTATACCAGCTCCGAGTCTCGCACTGCAGCTGACGACTATACTGGAACCTTTCCCCCTTCTTGTTCTTGTGACGTTCAGCAAGCGCTTACACAACAAGTATTCCTGCTTGACCTGTTCCACGAAGAGCTACGCAGATCGATACCACCTTACGGTGGCGCCGATAAATACGACACGATATGGCTAGATGATGTTGATGCAGAACTGCTACTAGCTCCCACCGAAGCTTTTGAGGACATATGCTGGAATTCTGCGGTTGCATCATCTCCAAAGCATGACCCTCCCAAATGGAAGTGGAAGCCCCTCCCTGATGTTCCTCTAGATTTTGGAGACGACTTCAATTTATACCAGATATGAGGTATGTGGTCTTGTGTTCTAGCTTCCATGATGGCGATCAATGATCTGATTATTTATTTTTCGCCACAGGGTTCTGCTAGATATTTCGTGGAATTCAAGCATGACCTATACCCATTCAGTCAAATGTATTATGTTTCCGACTCATTCTCAGGGCGTCAATTCCCACTTGCAGTTGTAGTATGGAATTTATTGATTCGTTCGACAGCATACTATTGATGTACTACCAGCGTTTTGAATGTAACCAGACCTGGAAGGTTTTGTAGCTATCTTTGCATTTTATATCTCCCTTCTTGTCTCCTTAAGTTACCGAGATAATGAAAGCTGTATCAATTGCGAGCGTTTGTGCGCTAGTGAGTTGTGGCGTATTGATATTGTACAGGAACGATGGCGTCAAGGAAAGGTCGAATATCGCCACTACTATATGATGTCAACCGTATTAGTACTACATTATGCTATGTGTGTGCTTTTGACGACCGGAGGTTATTTTGCTACTGGAAGTGCATCTGATACGTCCATCCACAACCGATTTGCAAACAGATGGCTTCTGTTTCTTCCACGGGTGATGATCACAGTTCGCCCTGAGTATGCTGACATGATGCTAATCGCTATGCTTCAAGATGTGACGGTCGTGCTGCATTGCCAGAAGATATTCGAACCGAGATATGATTGAGAGCCAGGGACGATAATCTTATCGGTTCAGGCTACTGGAGATCAAAGCTTTGGCGGAAAGTGTCCAATTGTGCCACAGGGTCGACTACACTCGAAATGAATGATAAGATGTGCGAGAAAGGGGCGTACAAACTACAACTAACATGTGTATAGCCCAAAATGAAAGTGTCTTGCAAGTTGGCAGCATTGAAGTATTGCATTTCGGCGATTTTTAGGCTCCGATAATGTTTTCTCGGCCCTAGTTTCCCAATTTGGTCAACGTTGTTCAGTGACTTATTTCTCACTTCGACTTCGTGAAGCCGCTGCACGACATTCTGACTCATATTTTTCACGGGTGATACTCTAGTTCTCTCTATAGACTATCTAGAAGAAGAAAAACTCAGTTACCCCACTCGCCCATTTCATGATGCAGGTAAGTTTGACTTTGAAATGCACCAGAACTAAGTTGAAAAAGGCATTTATGTTTTCAGACTTACGAATGAGTTTGATGGCTCGGCAGTAGGTGCAACTTCTTTTAGCTCAATTTCACGTCACCTAGAGCCCCTAAATCAATCCTTGACAACTCTATCATACACGTGCCGACATTATAGTGATATCACATTCTTATCGTGAAATCTTGAGCCGCTGGAACCAGCGATCCGTTTCAGAGGAATCCACAGCAGCCTACAATTGTATACGAACTTAGGTACAGAAAAAGGGATGACCCGGTACGTCAGCGTCAGTATGCTGATGGTGTGCTGCATTCGTTTCCATGCTAGTCGTATTGAGGCAAGGTGCCGCCATTCTGAATGCTGATATTTTTATTTTCCCCCGCCCTTTCGGTATATGTCGCTCATGTATAGCTTGATCTCCCCTACTTAAGAACCCACGACACAGAATCATTTTCTGATACTTGAATTTGATCAAATGCCAAACAAGTACGACGAGCTTCTCACCCGTCTCACTAACCAGACGTCTAGTAACTGGTCCAAGGAACATGAACTGGTCTGCTTGTCTATCTTTTCCTCAAATGAGAAGCTTCTGACAGACTGTCAGGCATTGCTGGAGCCTTTCTCGTATATAGCCTCAAATCCAGGCAAAAAAGTGCGGGGAAAGCTGATCGAAGCTTTTAACCTGTGGCTCAATGTACCCGACGAAAAACTCAGAGTGATCGTTCGCGTTGTTGGTCTGCTACATAACGCGAGTTTATTGCAAGTCGATTCCCTCCGAGTGTTTTCATTTTTGCGTCCTAATCATGCTTTATATTATTAGGGTGGACGACATTGAAGATGACTCTCAACTGCGAAGGGGGATGCCAGGTCAGTCCTGTTGATTTCTATGGTTGTAATTCACTATGCCAAATGTTTACTGACTATGCACAACCTAGTTGCGCATAAGATTTATGGAATACCCCAAACCATCAATACCGCAAACTATGTGTATTTCCTTGCTTACCAAGAGCTAGCCTGCCTTCGTCACTCGAGCTATGATACGACACCGTCAATACATCAGGACCACGACATGTATAATGGTGTAACCGAGGATGCTGGACATAGCCCGTCCGAATGTGGTTCAGAACCAACTGTCTGCAAGGCATCACCTTTGGGTCACAGCAGATCAAGAAGCCAGCACATGGACCCTGTGGAACGGCTTATACCTGATAGGAACCTAGATCTTGTAGTCAACGGTCAGTCTTCCAACCCTGTATTTTTTTTCTTTTCCTTTTTCTTTGCAGTGGCTTCCATTGTCAAGTAAAAAACATCACTTAGAAGCTTTCGCTTCATGTTTTTTGATCATGATAAGACATAATTATAAGGGACTCACCTGTCATATTCTAGCCGAGCTTCTATCACTCCATCGAGGACAAGGTCTCGACATCTTCTGGAGAGATCACCTTCAATGTCCTACAGAAGATGAATACATCAACATGGTGAAAGATAGTACGTTGATCTACTACTCACTCTGCCTTAGCCTAATGCCTTGCAGAGACTGGTGGTCTATTTCGGATTGCAATCAAACTCATGATGGCGTGTGCGACCACCAACACGATGGTGTAAGTTTCTACGACCTCTTTACTTTGGAAAACTACGACTCTCATTACCTCCGAAGTGATTATATACCGTTGGTCGACCTTATCGGCATATATTTTCAGATTCGCGACGATTATATGAACTTGCAGAGCACTCAGGTAGATTTTCTTCAGTGAACTAGAGCTATCGGTGCAATCGAAGTAATATGCGTCAAATTGTCTTTTAGTATACTACACATAAGGGATTCGCGGAGGACATATCTGAGGGCAAATTCTCGTTCCCGATTGTCCATGGTGTACGCTCAAAGCCTGATAACAGACAGATTTTAAGTACGTGGACGTTCGTCTGATTTTAGACTTGGCTACTTTGCTGACTATTGTTTTACTGTAAGATGTGCTGCAAAAGCGACCAAAGACCCCCACGCTCAAGATCCATACTATATCATATCTGAAGGATACCACAAACTCATTTGAGTACACTCTGGCTGTTTGTCGTAGTCTGGAGAGACAAGCGAGGGGCGAAGTTCAAAGACTTGGGGGAAATGGGACCCTTGAGGCTATTCTGGACAGCTTGATCATTGAAGACTCGTGAAGAATATGATGAGAGTTGTACTAAGTGCGTGTACTATAGGTTGTAAGTTGTACATCAAATTTGGAAAATGTATTCGGTACTCCAGTAGTATGTAAACCAATAAACTTCCGATCACTTGGACCACCTATGAAACACCGTTAGCCATCTGAGGCGACCCTCCTTCGAACCTGTTCCGAGAGAGACTGCGATGTTTTTCTCGGGTTCCAGGGAAGCCCTAGATCCTCTTTGCCCCGCTATGTGCGAAGGGACGAGGACCATAAAGTTTTTAATAGGTATAACTTGATCAACTATGGAAATCAGCTTAGTATCCGCTGGGGATAAAATATAAGATATCATACATGCAAATCATCAATAACGTTATTCGTCGTCGTCGTCTTCAGCGTAGTCATCATTCCCACCATCACTATCATCTCCAAAGAATGCATCGGACGTAACATCTGAAGCCTTAAAGCTGCTTTTAGTCGACTTTTTGGCGCTTGCTTTCTTTTTGGCATCTTTTGTTGGATTCCAGGTAGCTCTGCTCTCGTCTCGAACATCCGTGCCATCCTTGAGTTTCATGTTCACCTCAGGTTCGGCACTCAACTCGCCATTCTCCATCTGTTTCCGAATCCACTCGCGAACTTCCTCTCTCTCCTTTTCAACTTTTCCAGTCTCCGAGTTTGAGGGCTTGGACTCGGGGTGGCCCTGCCGTATTTCGGGTGGAAACAGGGAGATATATTTTTTGGTTTTCGGAAAATGCTATTGTTGGATTAGCATTTAAGAGAGGTATATAATATACGCCTTACCAAAATGTAATTGAGATCCACCCGCAATTCAGACAGTGAAATTTCGAGTGTATTCATTTCTGACCCATCTGGAGCAGTTGATATACTCTTTTTTGCCTGAATTATCTTGCGCACAACTTTTTGTCGCTCTAGAAATGAAGTCAGAAGACGGGTTTGTGAATTTATGAGAACCTCACGTACCAAAGAATTTTATTTTGTGGTATCGAACAGCCAGAGATCGTTCTTTTCGTGATGCTTCCGCACGACCCAAATCTGCCTCTAAGGCCTTTAGTCTACGTTCCGTCTCTACTCTCAAATCCGCTGCGACATTTTCCTGTGGAAGGTTCATACAAGACCTACTCCAGTGGTTAGAACACGCTCGTACCTTGGCTAGTAATCTCCGAGCTTGTCTTAAAGACGACTTCAGTTTTTGGACACCAGGCGTAGACGTTTCATTTTGAGTAATCGAGCGCCTTTTCTTCGTTTTATGATGCGCTGCAGAAGTTTCGCCTGTTTCATTTGAATCTCTAGTTCTAGTTGGTGCCATGATAAGGAGTAGTAAAATGCAGTCTTGCTTTCAATTGCTTGTTTTCAAGTTAACGGTATACAGTAAACCTTAGAATGGCATTAGGGTTAGGTGTTAGATCTTCTGAAATCCAAGTTATCTTCACTCCTTCTGTGTTGCAAAGTTGTATCGATATTCCTAATCTTTTGTAGACCAAAATCATTTTTCTATGAGAAACCTTACACTTTCTGGGACGTCAGTGTTTCCTATACCTGAGGCCAACGTATCCGGTATCGCAATCGATCTCGACCAAAATGCAATTTTTGTTGTATCCGAACTATCAAACCAGGACGCAGAAGTAGAAGTGAATGTATGGAAGATATCTAGTGATGATGCTATTGCTTCGGATGAGGTATGTGCATGCAATGTCCAATGAGCCCCTGCTCGTAAAGGAGCCAATATTCAGTCGACTTCGTCGTCGTTTCTGCGCTAGTCAAGGAATATAGCTAATATCGTTCCAATCATATCAGCTACCTACTCCCGAAATGATTTCCACGACGAGGACAACCTCTTCCTCGTATAGTGCTCTACCTCAAGTAGTTTCTTTCAAAGCATTGCCAGAGGCCAATTGTCTATCACTTGTCATGCGTGGTGGTGACATCATTGTAATTCCGCTGGATGAAGATAACTCGACAGTAAGCGATTATAATTTAAGTGCAGAACTCTAAACAAACTGTCTTCGATTGTATCCAGCCCGATGTAGTAGGAGGCGTAGATTCTGGCATTCTGGCTGCATCGTGGAGCCCCGACGACTCGTTGCTTGTCCTGGTAACAGGTATGTGTAACTGTTGTGGTTATTGAAATATAAAAAGTGTTGATTACATTCAGGTGAGGAGAAGCTCATTCTGATGACATCGACGTTCGACGTGCTATCCGAGTCAGTGCTGCAGAGCTCCGAATTTGGTGAAGGTATTAGAGAAGTCTCAAGTGTATTCTCCTCCTGATATATCTAACCACTCGTTTTTAAATTCACCAGATGCTCCTATTAACGTTGGTTGGGGTTCCAAGCAGACTCAGTTTCATGGATCCCTCGGGAAAAAAGCTGCTCAAGCAAATCCATCCATAGCTATTGGGTCAAGCCCAGACGACGATTCAGCTCCTCACATCAGCTGGCGGGGAGATGGCGCTTACTTTGTTGTCTCCGCGTTGTCTTCTGGTATCCATAGTGATATGGCGCATAGAACTCTTCGCGTGTTCGATCGTCAAGCAGTTTTGCAGTCAACATCTGAAGCTGTAGCAGGATTAGAGCACCCTGTGTCCTGGAGACCATCAGGCAACGTTATAGCAAGCACACAAAGATTTGGATTTCCGGGAGGTGGAGCCGGAAAACGTGAAAGGCATGACATAGTATTCTTCGAAAGAAATGGGTTAAGGCACGGTGAATTTGGACTACGCCGAACAGAGAACCGTGCGCAGGATTCAGATCGGTGGGACTATAAAGTCAAAGAGATACATTGGAGCCCTGATTCTAACGTTCTTGCCATATGGATTACGGAAGACCAAGGAGATATTTGTTCGTTCAACTGAATTCCTTATTTCGAATTATTCATCGTCTTTGACTCCACTGCTTAGTGCAACTTTGGACAATGGGGAATTATCATTGGTATGACCCCGCTTCCTAATATCACATATATGGGGCTGAGATCATTGCTGCTATGACCAAGGTACTTCAAACAGGAAATATCTGCACCGAAGTTATCCTCTTCCAAGCCTGGTCGCTTTACTTCTGTCTGCTGGCACCCTGAGAAGGCTCTTACTCTGATATTGACAACACATTGTAAGGCCTATGCTTTATGTGTCATCGTCATCGTCATTCTCAATGTGTTTTCAGCCCAGGTTCTTCAAAGAAGTTATAACTGGGAGACATGTGCTTCCCAAATCAGGCCCCCAAAGGACACTGGCTCAGTCGCAGTAGTCGACGGAGGTACGGCATATATTTAGTATGATCAAGGACAAACTGATGATAATTTGGTGGACTGTAGATAAAGTGTTACTAACACCTTTTCGATCTCAGAATGTCCCGCCACCTATGTCTTCTTATCAGCTGTCCCTAAACGGAGCACCTAGCTCGTCGACAAGAAACCGCGTGCCTGTTCATCTGGCGTTTTCAAACGAGAGAGATGTGCTAGCGGCACTATGGGAATCGGGCTATATAGAATTATGGAACCTGCATACACGCATTGGACCGAGTTCAGGAAAAATCATGGAACCAGTCAGAATCTGGTCCGGATCTGCTCAGAACGGTTTAGATTGGACAGGCAGGCAGATCGTTATCAAGGACATGAAGGATTCTTCACGTTCCGATATCGCACAAGTTACAATATTAGGATCTGCCGCTGTAGGACCCGATCAACTCTTTGTGGTTGAGGTCCATCTAGGGGAAGGTTCCACTTCTATAGGAAACTACAAGGTCGCTACGCTTGGTCGAAATGGTCGATTGGTAATTTCATCTGATATCTTAGCTTGGCAAGATCCTGGTGGGAAAGTTTATGAAGGTAAGGGACTGAGCCGAGCTTTCTTTTCTTTTCTAACTAGCATGATTAAGTTGTCTATCAAGAAGGGTTGGTTCCACTTCACTGCAGCTTCGGAGAGTTTTGTTTTTCCTCTCGTGCAGTGGCCGTATCTCATGGTGAAGGGGAAAACACACAATCACTATTACTTTTCGTTGGCCTCTCCTCTACTGGGAAACTTTACGTTTCTGGGAAAGATACACAAACACATGTTGTGTCGAATAACGCCAATTCTTTTACTTTAGCCTCAGGATTCGTGATTTATACGACTACCAGCCATGAAGCATATTTTGCGCCCTTGTCAAAACTCGCTTCACAATTTCATGATCCCGCGGACGCTGCTGGTACTACCCGAGATTCTGTCGATGACTGGGAGAAACGCAGAGTCGAAAGAGGGTCTCGCATAGTCACTGCCGTATCAAGTAACATGAGTCTGGTTTTACAAATGCCGAGGGGCAATCTGGAGACCATCAATCCAAGGCCTCTTGTCACGGAGGTTGTGAAACAAGATTTGGATGCGTAAGTCGACGTTACTATTCGTGTTTCTTTTTTTTGACGTTGTTTGAAGCGGCAATTATCGAAAGGCTTTTCTTGCTTGTAGAAAGCATCGGATAGACCTAAGTTTCATTGTAGAACATGATCAGGAAGCTTTTATGAGGCGACTATCCTCCTTCGTGAAGCAGGTTGACGAAGTGGACTATATCAACCTCTTCTTAACCAGTCTTGGGTAAGTTTCACGTTGATCGTCAACGTATCCGCTATATGTGCGTTTTTACAGGAGGAGTCATTTGCCTGTTGAAGATATCTCTGCCTCATGTGATGCAATTCGTGTAGAGCTGGAGAGAGTCGACCTAACTAAATATATAAACTCGATCTTGACTGCATACGTGGTGAAAAGTCCACCCGATCATGAAGCCGGGCTGGCTTTGCTCCTTCGTTTGCGAGGTAGGACCTTCTTGTTCTGTGTAGATATGATATTCATCTGTTCCCTATCCAGATGCAGAGCCGAATATAGTGGAAGATGCTGTGAAGTATATCATCTTTCTTGTTGATGCTGATCAACTCTTCAACGCGGCCCTTGGCATGTACGACTTTTCGTTAGTACTTATGGTTGCACAACATGCACAGAAAGTGAGTGAGGAACGTATACGGTTGTATCTCCACTTCTGACGATATTTGATGCAGGATCCTCGAGAATATTTGCCATTCCTACGTGATCTTAAAGCTTTAACGAAGTACTACCAGCGGTTCAAGATCGATGATCATCTAAGACGGTATTCAAAAGCTCTGCGCGACCTCAGTCTCGCAGGTAAATTTGGTTACCAACCATAATTTGAATTGTCGACTAAAATATGGTTGATTTCTGTCACAGAGTCAGCTCATTTTGAGGAGGCCATGGAGTATGTAGAAAGGCATCAACTTTATGAAGAAGCACTCGCAGTTTGGACAGAATCTGAAAATCGCAACGTATGTTATTTCCCCTTCCATTCTTGAGCCGTTTTTGACATGAAGGCACAGCGAGTACTATGCATCTATGGGAACTGGCTGTTTGATAGACGAGAGTTTCGCCAGGCTGCTTTAGGTAGCTAACTCATCCATCCTCCATAACGTACAATGCGTATTAACCTTTGAACACTCATAATAGTTTTCATTGAGGCTTGCGAACCGCTTAAAGCAATGGTCGCTCATGAAAGGGCCCTGCAATGGCAGGAACTTTTCGAGCTAGCCTCACGAGAAAAGGTACAAGAAGACGAATTACAAGGCATGGCATATCGTGTTGCCGGTACGTTACAGAGCTCTGGAAACACCTGACTGCTTAACCTTTTAATACTTTCGTAGAGGAGCTGACATCGAAAAAGCGTCACGCGGAGGCCGCGCGTGTATTGTTGGACTATTCCAAGGATGTGCGGCAGGCCGTCATTGCCCTCGTGAACGGAAACGAGTTCTCGGAAGCACGTCGGATAGTAAGTCGTGACAAATTTAATGCAGTGTAAATCTAAGATTGTGCCAGATAACCGTTCACTCCATGCCAGAACTGGTTGATGATATAGTCCTTCCGGGTGCCTTAGAAAGCAAGTCTCAATATACGGAGGATATATCAGAAATGCGTGAGCAATTAAGAAAGCAAGTTTCAAGATTGCAAGAATTGCGAGTCAAAAAGGTTGAAGAACCAGGTAATTGGCAGTCACATCAACAGAACCATAGTTGGCCTAAATTTCCTTGTTTCCTGTAGATGCCTTTTATGGGACAGAAGATGCAAATCTGCATAATGTCGATACCATGACAGATGTGTCTATGCCACTTACGGCATTCACGAGGTATACTGTAGCGCCAACTACTACCTCGAAAGCTTCAAAGTGAGCCTTTTGTTTAATCATCCAATAGTGTTTTACGAACTATATAAAATAGGCGGAGCTCAAGGTCTAAGAGGAAGATGGAACGTAAAGTAGGATCTGGGCGAAAGGGGACCGTCGACGAGGAGGAATATCTTCTAAAGTCCATCGCCAAGCTCGTGACAAGGTGTAATATGACTCAAGGTGAGAAGTGCGGCTGTGGATGGAAGAACTTATGCTTACACTTTATTGTCCTGTTCACGTAGGGGATGTCTCCAAGCTCTTGCCTCATTTGCTCCATCTTTCAAACGAACATCGGACGGAAGGCAAAGAGCTACAGGATGATATGGGCAAATTCCAGGTAGAACTACGGAATGCGGTTGAGGAGGTTTGGACCAGACCCGGAGAAAATGCAGAACCGAACCCCGACGATACATGGGCAGCGAGGATGCAGAAAAAAGAGGGGGAAAGGCTGACAGATCCTATTGAGCGGGTTGTAAAGCCAGAGATGTCCCTACCCGATTGGGGTTTGAGACTACTTCAACTTCAAATAGACAAAACGTCATGAACTTCAACGCCTGTAAAGTAGTAAAATTTCTTTGTATCAGTTGATTCACGGCAGTATTGTTCTAATTGCTATAATATTGCATTTATAACCGTACGTTCGAGGTAGAAAATTGACGAGAACGACACGATTACATCATGTATGCCTGGTGTGGCACAGAATTCGAAGATAGGTAGAGGCGACTATCACCCCTATTATACATTATAGGTACAAAAAATTGATACAACTTGAGTTGCGGACAAAGTACATCACTTTTGATGGAACTCGGAATGGACAGGACTTCAATACAGTGCGGACAGCACAGAAGGGGATAGCTAACCAACATTGACACACAAAGGTATAGTGGAGATAGTACGCCGGGATGGGTATAGATAGATGAAGATAAATAATAATATGTGAGGGGTGATTGTGAGGACGACAAAGTACTGCCCTGGGAGGTATAGAAATGAGCTATGGATGAGAACGGATGATGAACAGAATATGGCGCCCACCACAAAGTTACATGGGCGGTATAATGATATGATGATAAATAAGCGTGAGTGCAAGTCAGTAGGTCGGTTAGTATCACTAGGCTCGGTGCATATGCCGCCGTTCGTCCTCTTCAAGATCTACCAAATCTGCGTGCATGTAATAGCACATGACAGGAGTAATTGAGTAGCTGAAATATAAGCCTTAATAGAGTACCCTGCTCACCAATGGGTGATGTAAACGTTCGAACCTAAGATAGATTTGCTTATGTGAGCAATGTAAGTTGACAACCAGAGTTACATCAACACGTACATATGGATGCAAGTTAGACGGCGAGGCATTGCCCTCCTGCTGTGCACGAGATACCCACCCCCGTGATTGGTGGTCGAACACATAGGGCGTTTCAGAGTAAGGTATCTCCTGCACAGCCGCGTCGTGCAGATTCCACATGCGTACATGGGGATGCTCGTCGTACGAATGGGGGTCCTCGAGCTCGTATTCGGGCGTCGCCTCGTGTGGATCCTCAGACGAGAGTGAAGGCGAGCGCGAGATGGGCATGGGTTGATCGGGAGTGAGGGGAGCGGAGTGGGGGGTGGCTTTTGGGGAGGAGGGGGTGTGTCTGTGATGCAGGGATGGGGGTGGCGCGTTGTCCAGGGCTGCGGAAGAGGCTTTGATGACTTCTTCCTGAGGCTGAGCTTTTGCGGTGTATCCTAGTTCGTGTGTCAATGAACGAGGGAAGAAGATCTGGGGATAGAAGCTAGAGTTAGATATGCGTGGGGAGGAATATGGTGGCTCGAAAAGCGCACGAGAAGTGTTATGGCTGAAGACACGAAACACCCAATGCCGCCCATCGCTAGTAAGAAATCTGCCGTTTCACAAGTCAGTACAGAGAACCAGTGTGTCCATTGACCAAGTGCATACCTGACCAAAACCTGAACAAGAAATCGGCAATGAATGAGTACACTAATGAGTGAGTATTTATAGGGTACTAACGAGTTTCTGTTGACGTTGTGATTTCCTTGCACTCCATCCAATGCGAGGACAAATAGTGGGAGAGTAAACAAAAAGCGAAATATGACGCGTCCCAGCTAATGTGATAATGTTCTAACTTGGCATCCAATACAACAGAATCAGCGCTTACGTTGAGCTGGTAAAACATAACGAGCCGAATGACAACGTCCGGCTCCGCGCCATCATCCTTTATTCGACGGACGAAGAGTGGAAACCGAGCGAGGACATAAAGAAATAAGAGCGTTGTTGAAGTTGAAGCCGACGAGCCGACGAGAAAAATCCACGCTTGACACTGCCGAGAGTTCAATAGTGAGTTTCACTGTAAAGAGCGAAAAGATGAATCATCGGGGCATTACCATGTCGAGATTTCTCCGAGATACAAGCGTGGTCAATGGCATTCCTAGGATCGCAACTACGCTGCCTGCAAGGAGGATCAACATAAGACTGAGAAAAGCTGAAAAGCCAGTCTCCACCTGTATACCATAGCTTGAACTCCCAGCTATCAAACCACTCGCGTTTCTTGGGGCCTTGATGTAAAAGGAAGAGCCAAAAAGTCAATTCTGTGAACGTGGGTGAGTATGTGGGAAATTCTTTCTCCGTCTGTCGAGGGATCTGTACCTTCCAGGTGAGTTATCCTATCAGTCTCACGGTAAGATGGAGCTACTAGTGACGCGAATACGAAAATAGATATGCTTACAGCTCAAACGCCCATGCGATGCTAAATACGAAGTAAAGCGGCAATATCCATCTTTCGTTGACCTTGTCGTAAAACTCGGTCGGTTTTGGAATAACTAACGGAAATGATTAGAAATGGAAAGGAGATTAGAAGGAGATAAATTAAACGTACTTTGGCCGTGCGGTGCGATAACATAGCCTGCCAGTGGGTCGAACAAATGTCAAGACGGGCCAGAGCCCAGAGAGAAGAAGAGCGAGATACCTTCTTTATATTTGATAATGGTGAACGCTATGCTGAAGATAACGAGTAATGGGAGAGTCGCCAGATAAGAATACTGGGTGTGGGAGAACAAGGTGGACTTGGTATAATTGTGAATAGGTCATACGAAAATTCAGCTCACTGTCATGACCCGTTTGAAAGCGCCGGGTTGACGACCAGAGTTCCATTTGAGACAGTTGAAACGATCATAGCTCCAGATGTGAAAGACGAGGAAACATAGGAACTGCGTGAAAGACATATGTCAGTTCGCATCACGGCGCCTCGCTGGAGAAAATGCGTAAGCTTACGAGACTAGAAAGTATGGACCAGAGAAGAAATGCGGTGGGTGATCCGTTGCTCATGAAAAAGACAAGACCAAGATGCGAATGTTATGAGGTTTCTGAGAGCACGAAAGGCTGTAGGGTTGGACCAGACAGGGATGAGTGGGTATATAAGTAGTAGCTATAGCGCTACGAATCAAGCTACGAATATTCCTGGATCCTGCGAAGCTCCTTACCCCGGACCTTTTCCCCAGGCACCGTCTCTTTTCGGCACAATCCCCACAAAATCTCCCCACCGCTTTCCTTTTCGGGACAGAAATCGACACAGATTGCACCCGAAAAACACCACAACTTGGTGCAAGAACGCTTTTGGATGCAAGACCTGTCTCGAGGCCAGCACCCCGGCGTTTAAAGAACCATTGCATGTTTCATATCCGTTCATACCTTCATATGGCCATTCGAGACCACGGTCCAGATACCAGTGTCGTTGCAGCCTTGTTCGTGGGCTGCGTTTTCAGAGTTCAATCGGTTGAAAAAAAAAAAAAAGTAAAGTTTGAACATGATCTAAGCCGAGCTGATTTCGATCGCCAGTCAGACCGGTGACCTACTTATACCTGGATTATATCATCGTTGATTCTGTTGCGAGGTAACCTGATTAACTGGATATGGACAGAACAAAGAGACTTTTGGGGGGAAAGACCGTATATGGTCCAATTCTCTTCCAGTTAGACTGGGCTCAGAAAGCACATTTGCCACAAAGGGATCATCATGGATCGTGCAGCATTGGTCCAGGTGAGTCTGTTTCGTGTCAGATGTCAGACCAGTGCCTTTCGTTCGCTGACTGTGGTTTCGTTGATATGATTTTGTGCTATGTATTTCTATCATGGTTTCCCTTTTCAGCCAAGATGAATACAACCGTACACGGATCCGATCTTTGGGTTTGTCCAACCAAAAGGCTTCCATATCTCAAGCTTCAAGCTTCAAGGTCCGAATAAGGTCCAGGCAACTTCGCTTTTTTGCCCGCCGTGCAATGATCAGACTGTCCATGTTTCCTCCAAGTTGGGTCTTAAGGGCGAGAGGGTGGTCGGTGCCTCCCTCTTCAAGCTAAAACCTCGTCTACCCTTACTCCTCAGCCTTTCCGTATTCTCAATTATCTTTCAGTTTTTTCAAGTGTTTTCGAATACGTTCTGAGCTACAGTATCATTCCGGCCCAGTTACCACTCCTTTATCATGGATATGTGCATTGAAGACTGTTCGTGAAATCGCCGAGTATTCCGAGTGTCATGGAACCCGCCTTTTGACTGGATTGTTTCAAGCATCGACCACTTCGATTGGATCGTAACTAGGAAACCTGTTCATATCACAAGTCGTTGGGAATGACAGCAGCCAAGTTACTGCCTTTGCTGTACTGACGTTGATGCGATACGAAACTCTCACAGACAGCTTACCCTGGTCCAAAGTTTTGAATGACCGTAACCTGTCTCTACATGTGCCTCATTTCCCCGAGGCTATGTGTATTTTTCAACTGTGCGTGCTATAATTTTAGAGAATTGTTTATGGAGACGAAAGCACAGCCTGTTGCAAGTTCTGAGGTATGTTGGGATACACTATTTCTGTCAAGGCGTTCCTTCGATATCAGGAATTGAAGACGTCTTGATATCACGGTCTAAAACACTATATTTGCGCGCGCTAAGTGAGTTTATGTCATCGCCTTGATTCAGGTCTAAATGTACTTTAACAGCTGCTGGGGATGGCGTCCAAATATTTCCAGGATAGGCGTCTGTTGATTCGGTCTTCCTGCCGTGGACACTGCTCTTTCATCGAACTTGGTTGCCTCAGCCTACCTGCTGTCATGCCTCTCAACCCAAGGACTACGTATCACCATCAAAAGGGCACTGCAGTCAATATTTGTTCTCATCTGGCGTCCTAACATGCGACTTTTCCTGAGCAATTGATCCAGTCCTACCTCATGCTTTCGACTAATCATGCACTAGCACGCTTGTTGTCCAAGTCTGCTCTGCCAATTTCTTTTTCGAAGGACACGCCATCGTCTCGAGGGACATATGCAGTAATCCGTCGAGACGGCAAACCCGCATCCATGGTCCTCATGGACTCGGCATGGTCTGTCGTTACACATTTTTCCCACCAGAGGCGCGATATCAAACTCCCGTGGCGGACTGCTTTGTTGCAGCTTGACGTGTTTTACTGTATGTTTTGGTGCTGGTGCTTCACGGATGACGTCAAATAACGCTGAAGCGGGGACCAAAGGTGAACCAGGGAATTTGTGGACCGCCCTCCGAGGGGACGTCGGACGGAACCGACATGACCTGGGGTGACTCGGGCTATCTTATCAGCGATAGGCGATGGTGTCCATATAGGGCATGTGCATAGAAAGTAAGGCTACGAATACAGAGAATGCAAGGCTACGAGTACAGAGGATGCAGACTAAGTGTACTACAATGCATGTATATATGTGACCTGGACTAGAATGGATAATGCAAGTAAGACAATGGTGTGCACAGACCCGAACAGCTGAGGAGGCGAGTGGGTGGGTGAGGCCGGAGTCGGGGTGGCCGGGGCCCTGCTGAACTGGGGCATTTTTTTGGCAATTGTCCCACGGCTTGTTGCACCCGTCCTTCGTCCTTCCCTACAGGACAGACAACTCTTCATTCCAGCCCAGATCGCTATCCAAGGCGGACGGGTCAGTGTTCCTTAGACAGCCCGACAAAAAGTCGCCCTTCACTTGTTCTTCGCCTGCTGGCAGGTCATTTTTGACGACCACCACGCGCGACAAATCCCAGCTCTTCATAAAATAATCTCTTCATCGAAATTCGTACGTCGCTTTCTAATCCAAGCCACTTTTTTTTTTTTTTTTTCATTTTTTTTTTTTCACGATTTTTCCGCCCATATCTTATCTGTTTTCTCATCGTCTCCAACGTCGTCCGCACCAGAATGAGCAAAGCTTCATCTGCTTCTACATCAAAGATCCCGTCGCAGTCAGCCTGGGCAAAGGGCCCGCCGCAGACATCATCTTCAGTCTCTTCGCCGCGCTCGCTATCTCCCGCTCCAATTAATGCTGCATCTCCGATAAGCGCGACTCACTCCCGTAGACCGTCTAATCTCGGTCAGGGTGTGAACATAAAAGAAGGCGTAAGTGTGCCTCGGGGCAATGTTGGCTCGGTAAGACAAGGTGTGTGCCGTCGAGGCATCTTTTCATATCTCCCTTACCTCCACCCTTGCTTATTTCGCCCCTCTTCAAGGCTCTGCAGTTACCTTCGGTTCAATAGACGATGTTTCTGCCCCAATCTCGTCTTCGCCGGCCGCCGCACCTGCCGTCAAAACCGAAAGCATAAAGTCTTTTGGATCCGTAGCTGCTACGAGTAACCAAACCAATGGCAAATCGCCTTCTTCCATCTCGGCATCGGCGCCGTCAAAACAGTCATCGAGGTCCGCATCAATTTCATCGATTCCTTCTACCGCTACTATGACCTCCGCCGCATCCTCCTCTACCGCTGCCTCCACGACTACTTCAAAACCCGCCATATCCAAAATGGACGTTCGCAAGCTTTTCCAAAATCCTAGCTCCTCGCCAGCACCGTCTCAGTCCACGTCTGACACTTCCTCACCCTCCACGCGTCCCTCAAGTCTCCCTCCTCCCCACCACCAGCCTCCTCAAACATCTTCATCCCAGCATCAACCGCCACCACCGGCACAGTCTTCTCAGTTTGGTGCTCACCCGTATCCCTCGTATGGGCCACCAAATGGACTGCGGCCCCAGCAAAATGGCGTTGGACCAAACAATGCTCCTCGCTCACCTGTGTACCCACGGGCGATGGCCAATGGGTCGGCAGGTGGTCCTCCACGTCCAAATGGTCCCGGGGCTCCACCCATTCCTGCGAGTCCAAGACTGGCTACTCATGCTATTCATCCACATCAAGGTCAGCCGTCGGGTCTGCCTCAAGGTCAAATGCCAATGCAGTGGAATTATTATGTTAGTTATTTAGTCCAATTCACCGCGGTTGTATGTTGTTACCAGTATCTGACATTTGAGATATTTTTGTAGTACATGCAACAAGACCCATACGCTACCGCTCCTTATCCTGGCTGGGGATACGCTATGCAACCTCACCCTATACAACAACATCCTCAACATCCTCACCCTCCTCCTGGACCTCCTAACGGCTTGCCAATGTCACCTCGCAATCAACCTCCACCCCTTCCTGGTACACCCACCATGGGCCATGCTGTACCTAATCCTGTTCACAGTCCACATCCCACGCCTTCACACCAACCGTCAAACAGCATAAGCGGGCTTTCATCACCTCCACCTACCCCATCAACCGCAACAGGACCTGGTGGGCGGAGTTTGAACACGAATGCCAGCGCATTTGTGCCTGGCACACGCACGTCGAAGGTCACCATCAAAAGTCAGGATGGCACGGAGCTAAATTTGGAAGCGCTGAAAAAGCAAAGTCCTGTGCCGCCTGGCTCACCTGGTGGAGCTGCTAATAGACGTTCTATTCGGATAGAGAGTGAGGAGTCTAAGAAGAAGCGTCTAGATGAGCAGAAAGAGAAGGAACGTCTCAAGAAGGACACGGAGGACAGGCTAAGGAGGGAACAAGAGGAACGGAAGAGGAAGGAGGAGGATGAGCGACGGAAAGCGGAGGAGGACATTGCAAGGAAGAAGAAAGAGGAAGAAGATGAGCGGCTACGATTAGAAAATGAGGAGAAGGAACGCCTGAGGAAAGAGAAGGAAGAAGAGGAGCGGATACGAAAAGAAGAGGAAGAGAAGGAGAAACAGCGCATCGCGGACGAGAAGCAGGCTGAGGAGGAACGTGTTAAGAAAGAGGCAGAGGAAGAGGCAGAGCGCCTCAAGAAGGAGGAAGCTCTTCAGCAAGAGCAAGCTCGACTTGAGGAACAAGAGGCTGAGGATGTGGTTGAAACCGCTAAACCCATGGAAAGCCCGGTGGAAATCGAGGACGGTGAGATAGCAGAGGAGGTTTCTGAACCACCTGTGAATGGTGACAATGAGGTTAAGCTGTCTAAGAAGGAGGCTTTACGGATAGATACTTCTACGATGTCGCCACCTACTGATGTCAGACGCCGACCTGGTCCTCTTGATCTTACTGGCTCGAAGAAAGACATCCCTCCTCCCCTGCCTTCAGCAATCGCCACTGCTCGCGTAATCGAAGATCTCGGCCAGATCCAATACCCAGATGGCATCAAAAGTCCCAAGGTGGAGCTCAATGTTGGTGCAAAGGATGGCAAATTCAGGTAAATACGATCCATTACATCTTGATTGCTTTGGCTGATGTTTCGTTGCTTCTCAAGGTACGATCGCGATTTCCTCTTGCAGTTCATGTCTCTATGTCGGGAGAAGCCAGACATGCTTCCACCTCTTGATGCAATTGGTATCGAGCCTCTTGATCAAGCCTCATTCGCTATGGCTCGCGGCGGTTCCGGACGTCACCGACAAGCTTCGGGTGCTATGACTCCTGGTGGATCCATGCGCCAGAGCGCTGTTGGCCTTGGTATTGGCTTTGGTGGTAAACCTACAGCTGGTGGTTCGTTCCCTTCAATGGGCAACTTCGCCACCCCTAGCAGTAGGCTCACCAGTGAAGAGCGATTTGCAATGGCTTCGGGCGCTCGCTCGGCTTCTGTTGGCAGTGGGCCTGCTGGGTTGCAGTTCCGTCCTCCCATGACTCGATCGCCAAGTCAAGGTGGGCCCGGGCATCCTGTTGGTAGCAATCGCACACGCAGTAAACGAGGAGAGAAGAGAAATGATGCGAACAAGGTCCCAGGACACCAGGGTCAGGGCCAGGGATACGGTACGCCTATGCTTGGTTCGGGCTTGAGTGGCCTTCCCCTCGAACCTGTTGCGCCTTTGGAATTGTCTGCCAACCGTTGGGTTGCTGGAAGCACATCACGCAAGCCTCAAGTTGACGTGGACTCGCCTGAAGTTGTTGACCGTAAAGTGAAAGCACTTCTTAACAAACTGACCATGGAGAAGTTCGAGTCTATCTCAGATCAGATTATCGCGTGGGCCAACAAGAGCGAGAAGGAACAGGATGGGCGGACGCTCATCCAAGTCATTCGACTCGTCTTTGAGAAAGCCACCGATGAGGCTACTTGGAGTGAGATGTATGCTCGTCTCTGTAGAAAGATGATGGAGCAAATCAGCCCCAAGGTACAAGACGACGGAATCAAGAATGCGGATGGCAAGCCTATCGCTGGTGGTCAGCTCTTCAGGAAGTATCTGCTCAACCGCTGTCAAGAGGATTTCGAGCGTGGATGGGTGGCTAAAGAGGCTACTGCTGCAGCCGCTGTCGCTAAAGCAAGCGAGGACAAGGCTGCCAAGGCAGCTCACGACAAGAGCGGTGCTGGCGGTGAGGAGAGCGAGTTATATTCTGAAGAATATTATGCTGCTCAGAAGGCGAAACGTCAAGGTCTTGGTCTCATCAAGTTCATCGGAGAGCTCTTCAAGCTGCAAATGTTGACAGAGAGGATCATGCACGAGTGTGTTAAGAAGCTTCTTGGCAACGTCGAAAACCCTGAGGAGGAAGAGATTGAGAGCTTGTGCAAGCTTCTCACTACTGTTGGTCAAATTCTAGACACTCCCAAGGCACGCGCACACATGGATGTTTACTTCACTCGGATGAAAGAGCTCGGTAAGGGCAATAATGTCAGTTCACGTATGCAATTCATGCTTCAGGTCAGTCACTTTCTCTATATTTTATGACATTCTTACTGAGTAACGCATTCATGTAGGACCTCGTCGAATTACGTGAGCGTAAGTGGATAAGTCGTAATGCTGTGGCTGCACCAACGACGCTCGCTGCAGTTCACGAAGCTGTGAGTCATTATCAAAGTTATATTTGTGGACGCCCCTGATTAATAATTTCTATTAGGCTGCCAAAGAGAAGGCGGCTCAGGAGAAAGAGTCGTATCAGCGCCAAATGAGCATGTCTCGTGGTGGGTCACGGAGAGGTGGCGAGCGCGGAGGTGATGCTCAAGTGGGCCCTGATGGATGGGCAGTTGCAGGTGGATCTGGTCCTCCAAGACCCCCACCCAAAGCTGGTGATCTGTCGAACTTCGGAAAGATCCAGAAAGCAACACCTGTGACGTTTGGACCTAGCAGTATTTTCGTTGGTGGCAAGAAAGAGCAGAGCTTGAAGCGCGAGGCGTTATCACGGACAAACTCTAGTTCAAATATGTTCTCTATGCTGAGCCAGAACCCAGAGCTTGCTGCCGAAGCCGCGGCTGTGAAGTCTTCTCGACCGCCAAGTCGCAAGGCAAGCGTGGACTTCAATCAGACTGGTTTACCAGAACAGCCTCTTCAGAGAAAGAAATTGCAGCTGCTCCCGCGGTCGAAGCCTACTGAAGAGTCGACACCTGCAGTTACCGAAGGAGTTTCGGAAGACGAGCCCGTTGAGAGTGTTACAGCGGACGTTCCCTCGATGACAGAAGCCGAAGCACAGAAGAAAATAAATGAGGATGTTAAAGAGTTCTTTGGTGTCAGGAATCTAGAAGAAGCTGAGGTTTACTTCACGAATCTTCCAGCCGAGCATAGGTTCAGACTGGTCGACAAGTTGGTAGCATCAGCGTTGGAGAGCAAGGAGGCAGATGCACGATTGGTAGGGGAGTTCTTTGCGCAAGCATCGGACAAGGGAGCGTGTGATGCGAGTGCTTTCGAGGACGGTTTCACACCGATGGCTGAGTTCTTGGACGATATTGCCATTGATGCGCCCAAGGCTTTCGAATACATGGCGATAATGTTACGTGGAGCAGGCATGGACAAAGACGAGGAGAGACTAGGGAGGATTGCAGGCAAGTCAATGGACAGTGACAAGCTGCTCAAGTTGGTGTCATCGTAGATTATCGTCGGTTCCTTCGCTGCGCATCGTCACTTTTTTTTGCATCTCGCATTGCTTCGTTCTGGTTTTCGTTTCAGTTTGGTCCTTTTCTTTCGCTATTTGCATTCTTTCGTTCTCTTTTTCATCATTATTGATCGCCATCCATGTTCTGCACTAATATCTGTACACACGGCTGCAGAGCCTCCCTCCCACATTTTCCACATTATTTTACCGCTCTCATTCAGTACGTTAGGTACATTGTGAGCAATATACTCCAGCAGACAACTCATTTGGCACACAGCCATTAGCTTCTTCGCACGGCAATTCCCGGTTTATCAATAACAGGATTTGCAAGTCCGATTATGATGTGCGAGGCGGTCACGTGATCGCTACCCTTTTTTAATCGAAAAAGGAAGGTGGAATATCATTGGGTTCGCTGATACGGCTTCTGCAGTCCTTGCCTGAGACCGTCCATCACCAAGCTTGCCCGGGCACGCTCACGCCATAATAGCACACGACCTCTCGACGTCGTTTAGGGCGACGAACGACAGTAAAAGTGCTCTCCAAGACGTAAATGCATCGTTCGCGATGGCTCCAAGCTCCAGGCCACTGGCAAGCTTTTTGGAGAAGCATCAGGAAGAACCTCAACTTTTACCGCATTCATATCCTTTTCTTGTGCGCCCTCTGATAGGTCTCATGCGCTCCACATTTGTACTAACAATTGCTCTGTATGCAGCACATTCACACCTTTGGTGTTCTCGGCGATCTTCTATGCTAGCAATGGAAGGTATACTATTGCATACATCGACGCTCTCTTTAACTGTATCAGCGCCATGACAGTTTGTGGTCTCGCGACCATAAACTTGAGCACGCTGACACCATGGCAGCAAGCTATCTTATTCATTCAGATGTGTTTGGGTAGTCCAGTGCGTCGGTTTTCTTTCATTGTATATCTTGCGTAGTGAGATTGCCACCCAGGTCGCTGTGTCGTGGGTAATGGTATACACCAGGAGGTAACCCACACAGCGTTATTTTTGTGCCCGCTTTCTCACCGCGTCTATAGATACTACTTTGCTAAAAAGTTTGACCATATCATTGAGGCCGAGGCCGCTCGTCGTGCTTCCATTAAGATGGAAGCGAGGCTCACTCGCGAGTCTGCCTTATCAAGTGGTGCCAAAGGCCAGCGGTCCAGTCGTTTTTCCTCGTTGTTTCGCAAACGCACCGGTCTCAGTGCAGTACCCGAGGACTCTGCAAGTGACGACGATCACAATTCACAATCTCGTCAAAAGGAAGGTATCGCAAAGAAGCTAAGGCCTGATATGATCCGTCGTATGGATGCCCCTCCAAAACTTGTGAATCCTAGCGGATGGATTAGCGAGGGGCGAATGGTCCCTATGAGGCGAATGTCGGCCGTTTCGACACGAATGAATCCAAATGGTCCTGCAGAAAATCATTTTGATGGCCAACCAGCTTCACCACGCACGCTTGCATTTGCCGACCAAGTTGCGCGATTTCCCGAGCATGTGGCTGGGGAATTAACTCCGGAACCGGAGATTACTGATGTTCGGGTTGATGTCGAGAACCCTGACATCCGGCCATCGTACGTTGCACCCTCATTGTTTCGTTGTATTGTAATCACCGATCTGTATTTGGATGGCGCCGTAGACACGTACGACATCTCTCAGATCCGGGTACACTCGCAAAGGAATTGCCAGTCCTATGTGAGTACTCTCATATCCGCTCATCAATGATGAAACAACTCTGTTACAGCAATCAACACTTTCCCAAAATCAAGTACACTTCATGCAGCTTCCGAACCCCGTGGTCTGCAGCAGCCTCCGAGCGCTAGTTCCACTGGCATGCAGCGTACAGCCACGGTTGAATTTGCGCCCAACGTTGCCCGCCACTATCCTGCGACGCTTACTACTATATCCAGCCGTGGCCGCCAAGGAAGGGAGACACCTTTAGGTTCAGATTCTGATTTTTCCACTGGGCATAGAATCGAAGAACGCGAGCGCGATGGTTCGCGCCCGCCACGACGGCCCTCTATACCTCCGAATTCGAGGATTCCAGTGGCAAGATACCCCACTACCCACACTAATCGCTCCGCGCGGTCACGGCGTGCATCTCAACTGCAATCCTTTTCGACCCAGCCGTATGAACCGCCAAATCCCCCACTACCGCAAAAACACAGCGGATTTGGCGGGTTTCCGATGCCTCACGAAATATTGGCCATGATTCTCAGGTGGCTATTTCCGGGAGTGGAAAAACGATTACATAGGACCGTGACGATACCCGTGACAACGACCCTGACAGGTGGAGGTTTAGGACGAACGGTATCTTTAGGACCTGGTGGGCGGACATACTCTGTCCATGGTTCAGGCCTTGATGCAGGAGGCAGTATAAGTGGAGCCATTGGTGAGGATGCAAAGCCGGTGGCTTATATTTCCTTTGATGCTATAGTGGGACGTAATTCTGCATTCCATCTCTTGACAAATGAACAGTTGGAGGAGCTGGGTGGCGTCGAATACCGTGCGTTGAATGCGTTGCTATGGTTGGTTGCCGGGGTAAGCGGTTGGCTAATAAAATCGCTGTTTATTGCTTACCAAGTTTGTTTTCTGCATATATCTTTGCCGGCATCGTCAACGACCTCCCTCTTACAACTGAATGTTTGCTGTATAGTATCATTTGGGATCACAATTAATCTCTTTCATTGTCATTGCACCTTACATCTCACGTTCCGAATGGAAAAGCGATTTCGTTCCCCCTCAGCTATTCAAACCAGTATCACAAGCCTGGTTTGTTCTTTTATTTTAATGATTTCCAAACATCACATTCCTTATGATCCATTTTGTGTTTTCTAACCATCTTTATGTTTCGGTACACACGCTAACATTAATGCATTACATTTTGAAGGTTCTCTATTTTCCAAGTAGTATCTGCCTATACTAACACAGGCACATCTCTCGTCGATCAGTCGATGGTGCCCTTCCAGACTGCATACCCCATGATTTTCTTCATGATATTTTGTATACTGGCCGGAAATACTGCTTTTGTACGTGCTACTTCTAGTTATGCTTAATCGTATAAACTAACTGTCAGTACCAAATCAGCCTATATTGTAAGTTGTTATTCTATACGGTTTTCTCAAGACACTCATGAGATCAATAATCTTAAGTTTTCGATTATTGATGTAAGGCTAGATACCTCTATAAAAGTGCATACACTTACTTTACCCCCTCTATTTGCATCCAGTTGGATAATCAGCAAACTAGTACCTTCTACATCTCGTGCTAAAGAGACACTTCACTTTCTCCTTGACCATCCGCGACGGTGTTTCATTTATCTTTTCCCATCTCACCAAACCTGGTTTCTCCTCACAGTTCTACTCATGCTTAAGTTTGTATTGTCCTTTCCTCCTCACAACGCTGATTAAATCTATGTCGGTAGCCTTACAGATTGGTTCTTCTTCATGGTACTTGACATTGGCAATCCTGCGATAGAGTCAATTCCTTTGGGCACTCGGTTTGTTGCAGGACTACTGCAAGCAGTCGCTGTACGTGCCGCAGGATTTGGTATTGTGACTCTTGCAGCGCTCTCTCCGGCAGTAAAGTAAGTGGAGATATGTTCTCTCATTAACTCTTGACAATGAGTGTTGGGTTGTGGACATATGTTTAACCTATTTTGAACAGAGTCATGTACGTGGTCATGATGTACATCAGCGTCTGTAAGTGTTATCTCCTGTCTTTTATCTGCAATGTTGAATGTGTTCGGTCAACGTAGATCCTATTGCCCTAAGGTAAGTTAGTTTGCCCACATTTGTCCCAATCCACTGTTTGCTCCACCTGGGAATTTTTACTACGGGACCCGCCTAATATTTGTTCTCAGTGTCCGTTCCACAAATGTTTACGAAGAGCAGTCGCTTGGTATCTACAGAGATGACGATGAGTCAGAGGAGGAGCAGACTTTTCCTGCCCAAGGGCCACGTATGACGGTGTGGAGTCGTTACCTTGCGATGCACGCTAGAAAACAGCTTGCTTTTGGTATGCCGGCATCTCTTTTTATAGTGGTGTGAGTAGTCCTGACAACTGCAATATAGATATGTGGTGGTTGGCATTAGCTTTGTTTTTGGTTTGTATCATCGAGGTTCGTATGCTTGTTCATATATCATGCGGCTTGATTTATGTGACTAAACCCTATGCAGCGCGGAAATTTGAATGACTCGAAGCAGCAAAGCTGGTTCAACATATTCACGATCAGTATGTGATCCTATGGTATATATGAAACGTAGCTAAACTCGAAACCAGTATTTGAACTAGTTTCCGCGTACGGTACTGTAGGGCTCAGCCTAGGTCAACCAGCGGTATGTCGTGTTAAGTATTTTCGACCGTCAACTTACAGTTCCTTAGCAAAACTACTCCTTCTCGGGTGCGCTCAGTCCCCTATCCAAACTTATCATATGTATTGTCATGCTTCGCGGCCGTCACCGTGGTCTACCTGTGGCCATTGATCGTGCCGTGATGCTCCCTTCTGAGTTCCAGAAAACAAAAGATGACCCGGATTTTGGGCTTGCACACGATGATCGACAGAGCGCTCGTCGATTGAGTCGCCACTTCAATATGGACGGCCCTTTGGATGCTGAGGACCCTGACTATAATAATCCTGACATAAATGGCAAAGCAAATTCTGGAGAATATGACGAAACGGAAAACGGTATGGAGGAGAGGTTAAGGCGTGTTGTGGGGGGGAAGAGTAGCCAAGATGCCATGATAGAGGCGGGTCGTGAAAAGGCTCATGAAGATGACAAAATGATGTCAACTTGACTGTGATAAATTGACTTCTGGCAACCCTGCTAAAATTATGTGCTTATTAGATCTAGACCTTAGAATTTGCTTACCGGATTGATAACTTTCTAATTTCATTCAGCTGCATATATCATTATATACAATACATTTGGGTTTTAACTATACTGTGTGCATGGAGATGTTTGAGTTACATTTAGTACCTCGAGTTATTCCTATTAACTCATTTCAAGTCCGCAGACATCCAATAAAAGTCGATCTTCCTCCGCCTCGCAGCCTTTTCGATGACATCCTTCACTTCTGCATACTCAGGGTTTGGTCCATATATGTGTATGCTTTCCCAACTAGTAGTTTTCAAAGCACCGACCAAACGATGAGCGCTGATCGCTGGAGCATCGATGACAGCGACAAAGGCCCTCGAAGAATATTTCCTGGGGTGCGGTAGAGATGTCTTCCGTAAAAAGACATTTTCTGAGGCAATGTCGCCTTTTAAGTTCATGGTTTCTATATTTACCATGGAGGCGATGCAAGCGTCAATTGCATATTCTTCGTTTGCTTCGCGGAAAATACCACAGTTTTCCAACATGAAGCGCCTGAGGTTAGGGCCCACATCACTGAGCCAGTGCTTTAAACCTTTATTCGTCAAACCGTTCACTCTGTTCAAGCATATACTCTCTACGCTGGTTAAGGAAGAGAATGTCAGGCGCGAGAGTTGAGCGGTCGTAATAGTTCCGTTATAAAATGATATTTGTCGTATGCAACAGGTTGGTGGTGGCAGCTGGAGAGCAGATAAGTTACGATCATACGACCTGATAATATAACAAATAGGAATCCAATCAGCGTCCAATCAACACGAAAATTCACCATATACTATAGCTGACTTTTGGTTGGAAGCATCATAGGACTGAAAGCTCATTACAGTCAATATCTTCAAACGAGGCCAGTGACAAGTACATCGCAGGACATCGTCGGCACTAAGAGTGTATCTGTCCTTGTAACCAAAGAAGGGCAGATCCGGATCAATCTGAACATCCCATATTGCGGTAGAAGTGCGTATGGCTTTCAAGAACTGGTTTTTCAATCTCATCTCCGTGCTCGAAATTTGAATTCTGCCAAGTAGAGTAGCACCCTTCAAGATGGTCACGGCGGCTTCTACATCTTCGTAGGCCCATGGAGGATTACGCAGTGACGTTATGCAGCTATTAAAGAAGTGCTTCGGGCTGAACTCTCTTACCGCTCTCCCAAATCCGGGGTTACGTTTTATGGCCCCTGCCATAGCTTTAATGTCTGGTGGGTTTTCTCCCCTGGCGAACTCTCCAAGACTTTCGAATAAGAAGTATAAGGCTGGACGCCAAGCACGGCAAACGAGCGCAGAAGAAACGAGGTCTTTTCGCCAGATCGTGGTATACTTCTTGGTTGCGACATGCGAAAATATCTCTAACAGTATCTCCGTAGGAATTGTTGAGAATGGTCGACATGTCAAGTCTTCTGGAAGAATACGAACGGAGTGAGTGACCACGCCCACAGTAATGGCGTGAGAGCCATATTGCAGGTAAGGTTTAGGAGTCCGACGAAAGGTGTGGGTACTGGAAAGGAGGAGTACGAGGGAAGCGCATGATAATTCAGTGTAATCGTATATCTTCCGCATAGGCACCTCAAGAGACTCCATATCGAAGTCGGCGGGGAGTAAAGACAGCCTTACTTCCTCAAAGTCAGCATCGCTCTTGTCAACAATTTCAAACAGGAGAGTATACAGGGGAAGGGGTGAGGCCGAGCTAGGTCGTTGGTGTGCTTCTAAATCGTCAGGTCCTTTTTGCACCAAGGTGCTAGGGCTACCTTTGGCGAATAATGGGATAGGACACTCTTGCAACTTCTGCAAAGTACAAGAATTGTAATTAAGAAAGGGTACGATCTACTATTACGGACCACAGTACTTACCAGTGAGAGAAGTCCTTCTCCGCCCGCACAGTATATAACCACACGGATACCCGAGAAAATCTTATGTGTACCATCATCAAATGCTACGCAGATCATGAAATGCTAGATAGAGATCCAGGGGCCCTCAAACTGGTTATCACTTCTCCAGCAAGGCTTAGGTGCTGGCGCAGCGATAGGTCGTGGTGGCTCGGCGCCCATGACTAGAATGTCTGTAAGAGGATAGAGATGAAAGTCAAGGACACGGGCCATAGCGAAAAAAACGCCATATCGCACCCAATGGTGTGGTTTACTCCTCACACATGGATTTCAACACTTGAGGCCACAGCTTGATCCAGTCCTGAGGAATGATGTTCAAACAGCGGCCTGAGTACTGTGACCCTAGTGACCTTGAAAGAACTAGTACGAGTATCGATCAAATTATGAGGCTGGGATAAGTACAAGGCGACACGATAAGACTATCAGGGTACTTGGGTACTAAATGATTTCTCACCGATGTATTAAGCCATTCCATGCTGCGGGTAAGTATATGTATATAGGCCTCAAGCGCCCGATTCATACATAGGCGCTTCAATTCAAGCGGCGCGAATAAACTGGGGCGAGCTGGGGACTTGGTTTCTCTCTTCCACCAAGTCTGAAAACATACATAATGTATCCTCCTCCGCACCCAAATATCAGCTACCGAAACCAGGACTCAGATGCTGCAATACGCCTAACTGATTCAGACGCAGCTCTTGCAAGGCTTTCAGCAGTGAAGAAGGGATACATGCAGGACCCTTTCATCAAACACCTCATTCCTCGTGCGCATTTGCAGCCACCCAGACCACCTTTAATCAATATAGGCACGTATGTACGGTCAGAGGCAATAGATAACCTCATCGATGAGTGGCTTGAAATATCGTGCCAAGATGGAAAGAAATGCCAGCTTGTAAGTTTGGGAGCTGGCAGCGATAGTAGATTTTGGCGGCTAGCTGTATGTTTTGGTTTTTTCTCCCACTTCATGGTTTGGTATGCAGTGTTCTGATGTCTCTTAGACAGACGGGACCCCATAAAGATAAACTGGCAGCATATATTGAGGTTGATTTTCCTGATGTGACTACCAAGAAAGCCATGGCGCTACGCAAAAGTAGAGAGCTGAGTGCCATCCTAGGATCACCAGAGCAAATCAAGATATGTGAGTGTTTTTCAATTCACAAATTTCCATAAGATCGTGAATTTTTGTCTTTCAAAGCCCATGGTGGCACCGCTCTTCATGCCAAAAATTACCATCTTCTTCCGGTGGATCTCCGTCTGCCACCCTCAGAATCCCTCGCAACCTTCCTGGCTAAGCCTCTATCCGATAACCCATCTAATCCAATACTCTCCCATTCGCTGCCAACATTATTGATCTTCGAGTGTGTGCTGGTTTACATGTCCCCAGAAGCTTCTTCTGCTCTTATACAATGGTTCGTCGATTACTTCCATCAAGGTTCAAGTTCAACGGTTGCTGGTGGGCACGCACCACTGGCGGGTATTGTGTATGAGATGTTCGGATTGCGAGATGCCTTTGGGCAGGTTATGTTGAATAACCTCAAAGTAAAGTCAATTTCTATCTCTTCCGGCCATGTCTGATGCCCCTACTACGCTATATGTTGGAATTCGAACTCGTTTTTTTTACAGTCTCGAAACGTTGTTCTACCAGGAGCAGAGCCGTATCCAACAATTTCGTCTCTTCCACACCGTTTCCTGAAGCATGGTTTCACGACATGTCATGCACTCTCGTTGCGCGAAATACGGAGGCATTATACAAACCACTCGGAACTAAAACGGTGAGTTGATTTTGATCATCTTTGCCTATCTCTGGGGCCCCAAACACGATACGTTTTTGACAGGATATCGAGCCTTGAAATGCTCGATGAGGTTGAAGAACTTAATCTTGTATTGGAGCACTATGGCATTACTTGGGGTATCAAGCTTCCCGATGCTTCAGACGCAGCGTCAAACTTAAGTTGGGGGAAATGGGGTTTAAAACCTGCAGAGAAGGCCTCCGAAGAAATGGAATGATGAATGAGCGATGTGTCGAGCTGCTGAAGACACCTTGCAGCATTCCAGACAGACTAAAGGCAATTCTATATTGGTTGTATATCTCATAGCTTCTTTGACACCTCAATACTGAACGCCTCCACGCTTGTCTTCACGTTTTGAGCATAAAGATAAAGATGCGCGGATTGCGATTTCTCTCAGATGTGGAAACTTCAAGTTGATGGCTACGATTTGCATTTATCAAAGTCATTGTTATATACATATATGTAAGCCTTGAAATACGCTATTTCTCTCAATGCGCTATAGCTGCCATTACCGTTCCGGAGCAGGTATGGTGTCACTATTTCATTCACTCCCACATAGACAGATTTTATTTATTTTTATGTTCATTAGTAAGTGCAAATTCGTTTGTGGGTACCCATGTATCAGATTTTTCCTCCATTGACTGACTCAAACGAGGACCCTTTCTACCTGGTAAGCTCACTTATAGTACTAAGTCACCGTGGTACTGTACCTTTTCTTTCCCCCGTATTAGCCTTTGCATCTGTCACAGTTTATTGTCCCGATTTGCCTCAACTCCCGGCCGACTCCAGGCCCGTTCTCTGGCAATCAGACAGTGGATGCAGTGTTGGTGACTCTTAGGCCGTATAATGATCAGTCCCAATTTTCCCATCCTTTTCCTCCGAGTTTAACTTCGATGCCGGATCATTTCATGAACTTGAAGATGCGCCCATACCACAACATTTTCGTGAAAGCTAAGAGATGTAACCCAATTGGTGTGCCAAGCTTCTTTTTGGTTATATATTGATTGTACCACTGATTGTACATACAACTGCAATTTCCCTCTGATAAGCCACATCACAAATAGATTAACCCACACATACCAGTCTCGCATAGATCTGCGTGCTCCCATAGGACCCCCGTTATATATTAACCACATGTACTTTTCCTGCGGGTCGGGTGTCGCAGGCACCTTCCACACCCATATTATCACAAAAACACGCTAGCGAAACTAACACTGAAAACTATGCTTCCAGCCTTCCACGCGACTTCCATGTGGTTTCGGGACCACCAACACCTACTACGCTGCAACTATAACAGGATGCTTCAAGACAGTCGAATTACGGTGGCTTCTCTGCCAACAGAGACACAGGATCACATACTAGGGTATCTCCCTCGCCGTAGTCTAAGGATGTGTTTATTCGTCTGCCCAAATTGGCGTGGTGTGGCACTCAGGCGCCTCTTTTCAACGGTGCGACTGTACTTTGGGGAATGGATTGAAGACTTCGAAAACAATCCCTGCCAATCACATCTTCCCGGGAGTTTCGACTTAGGGACAACGATGTCATTTCGACGCTTGGAAATATTGCAGCGCATATGCTTCTACCCTTCGTTTGCGAGTTTGGTGAAACACATCGTCGTACACGCGCATTCATCGCCGTATCGCATTCCCTGTCAAAGATGTTCGTGTATTTCAAACGCATTTGATATCAATCACTAATGTCCCCCAGTAGATAACCTACATAAGGCCTTTGAACGTCTCCCTCATCTCCTATCTCTTCACTAGCACGGATCCTACGATACTAACAGTTTCCCGTCCGATTTTCCTATGGTAGTTGCGCACTTGTGTCCTCGAGTCCGGAGCATCGGCTTCTGTATGACCCATTGATTTAGCTGCTCCCATGATGAGACTGATAAATTTGATTTCCACAGGTTCTCCGAGGTTATCCTGATCGACCGATACGCAGATTTAAACAGTATATTGTTCACTGGGATAGACAAGATCACCAAGGAGAGAAGCGAGGATAAAGATGGAGATTTAGCCATCGTCAGCGAAAAGTTCTCCGGTACGGCACTGCGCAAGCTCCACTTAGTTGGTAGCTTTCTCGCGGGAAACTCCTTTCCGGATTTTCCTAAACCTTACAGAGTTGACACTGGTCAACCCACATGACCTGGAAGGATTACACTTATTATTCCAGCACGCTGCTGGCCTGGAGTCGTGCGACCCTCTGTCTTCTTCTTGACCACAGCGCCTTCCCAGTAATAGAAAACAGCGCTACCTTGCTTGACGTCATTCATGTTGACTTCCGATCGCGACGGACACGTCAGCCATTACAGATCACTCTCCACCTTTCTCTGGAATAGACTCTCGATGAGGCGCCTTGCTAGAAGGATGTATGGGTATGATTTACCCACTCCAATACGTCACACATCGCATGGTAAAAATGGAGGCTTTGTGGATGTCAATAGGCTACCATCGCATGAACCCTGGCGACGAATTGGACTACAACCTGTATCTCGAAAATGGTAGGTATGCAATACCCAAGAATGTCAAAGCGTCACAACTACATTCGGAGAAGCTAACGCCTAAAGTATGCTGATGTTTCAAGGCCCTTATTTATTGATTGTTGTATATGCTTGTACTAAAAAATTAAATGTATTCGAATCTAGATGTTTCCTTTTATGCATTGTTCATCTCTTAACTTTCTATACACAAATGCAAACTACGGGAAGCTGGATACCGAATGGAATCGGCTTGAAGACGAGTGGAAGAGGGGATACCAACGCACGGCTCCCTCACTTGACCGACTTTGGACACGACTCCCTGATCTTTGACGTAGAAATAGAAATAGCAGGATCAGATATGTATTTGACACCCCTAGTCGCAGCTTAAAGTGTTTACGAGAGGCGTGGATGACTTCAACAATCCCGACAGCAAATGGCTCATGCGTAATTCGTCCTTGTATGACGCGGCTGAAGATTATTGTTCACCATTGATGATGGTGAAGAAAGTGATGCTTCGGGGAATAGAACATGAAGTACGCTATTATACATAATGTGAGGATGCGAATACGTGGGAAATGCAGATAGTTATTACGCCCTACTACTGGACTGTACCTCGACCAGAAGTCTATCGAAAAATGCAAAACAAACGAACTCCCGCACAGCGAGATTACAACTTCGTTTTGAATTGTGCTACACTTAGCGGTTGATCTAGAAAGCTCTTATATTAGCAAAAATATACATACGCCCGAATGGGTGGGATACGTACACGTAGTGTTGTAGAGGTTATCAGCTGGTGTCAGACCGACGTGCGAGTGGATAGCGCTAGCATCAACCATTTGTGGGACGAGTTCATCGATGGAGCGTGCACCAATGAGACGCATGTTCATCTCAAGCTCATCCTGCGGATGATGTTAGACCAAAGTCAATTTACAAAACCTGAACACTTACGCGGAAGATCTGGAAGGCCTTCTCCACACCCTCCTGGCCATAGGCACAGAAAGAGTACATGAAAGCACGTCCAACACCAACAGCCTTGGCACCCAACGCAATAGCTTTGAGGACATCGCTTGCACGACGAATACCACCATCAACGAACACCTCGAATTTGGGGTTGGGCCAAGGACCACGAGTCTTGAGTGCCTCAACGACTTCAATCAAGTTCTCAATTCCTGAACGAGCTGTGTCGAGCTGACGACCACCGTGGTTAGAGAGGACAATGCCCTGTACGCCGTAGTCATAAGCCAAGAGAGCGTCCTCAGGGGTAGCAACACCCTTGAGAACGATAGGCACTAATAACGACTGTTTAGACCCTTAACGAAGGGAGGTGTTAATGAGTTGAGACTCACTGTTGGTAATGCTCTTGAACCAGGGAATATCCTTCCATGACAAACTGGGGTCGATGAAAGACTGCGAGTCGACTTAATTGATGTTAAACTGGTAAAAACAATGGCTAAAACTCACGCTGATGGCACGAGCGACACCTTCGTTTTTCTTGACGCCGTCCTGACCTTCTTGCACCTTGGCAACACCAGACTCGTCGACGAATTTCATGCGCATGTCCTTCTCCCGACGACCGAGCTGAGGAGCATCAACAGTGATGAACAGACCCTTCACCCCACGTTTCTCGGCGTGCTGGACGTATTTCTTGGTAATCTCTCGGTCACGGTTGACGTATCTGTACCAGAGGGTAAGGATATTGTAATGCACGCAGACATGAGAGATACGTACAGTTGAAGGAATTGGACTTGTCCGGGAACAGCAGCATCAACGATCTCATCAAACGAGCAGGAAGCAAGCGTAGGTATCTTGATGATAAAAGGAAAAGATGAGAGTATGTATCAACTATACGAACATGTCCTTACTCACCATCTGGATGACACCATGTTTACCAGCAGCTCTCGTCAAGTTGAGCTCGCCGTCAGGGTGTCCAAGTTTGCCGAGGGCAGTGGCGGACTAAAGTGACTGTTAAGCAGACTTTTAGGGGCTTTGGATGCCATTGGGACGTACGATGTAGACAGGAAGCGTGGACCTTTGTCCAAGAATCGTCGTTGACCAATCAACTGTAGACACGTCCCGAAGAATACGGGGACGGAACCATATACTACACCCGAAATATCTTAGTAATTAGCTGCGGGACTAAATGAAGGAGTATTACCGTTGATAAGCAGCACGATTTTCACGGATAGTGATTTCATCATCAGATGCCGAGGAGTAGTATGCCCAAGCCTTGGCAGGGAGGATAGCTTTCGCGACAGCCTAGAACAACAGAAATAAGCTTATTTTGTTTGGTGACATATTTACAACCAAAGTAACCTCGAAGTCGTGAAGATTGATGATCTCATCAATCGAAGGACGGGCAGCCATGAGTGCTTCGTGTTTCCTGTCTTCATCGGTCAATTCTTTAACAACCTTCACCACAGTATTAGGATCCACAGCGCCGAGACTAACGGGCGATTAATTAAGGTAATTGATTGAGCATGGTACCATTTAACCCACTGTTTCTCCTTTGGAAGATGTGTCGTGATGGCATCAGGAGGGTGGATGGGGTCATAAGCCTCACTAAGTTCAGGTAAGTGGGTCAGAAAAACTTTACAGAGAAAACGCGAAACAACGTCAAACTTACGTAGCGTCCTTTCCGGCGTACTTGAGGATGATTTTGCTACCACCTGGGTGCTCTATGTAACATTGAAAGAGTCAGCATATAGCGGACTGAGGCAGGTGATGCAGAGCTTACCCGGCAGGAACTCTGTTACGTCGTAAACCTTGCCTGTAAGGACGTGCGAGTAAATTTCTGAGAAACTAAAAGGTAGCTCTCGAGGTAGTCTTACCGTGGACGATAATCCAACAACTCGACGCGCTGGCATGTTCTGCGACGGCTTTTGTGGAGATGAGAGACATTTTTAGTGTCGTGGGCGAAGTGAGCTCAGGACGAGAGAGGATGGGTACGGTGAAAGTTCAAGGAGATGCGCACTTTTGAAAGGCGCCAAGCGGAATCAACGGAAGCCGAACGCATGTTCAGACCCGGTAAGGATGTATATTCATTCCGTGTCGTACATGCCAACCACGAAGGAGAGCCTGTAAAGGATTGGAGAACGCATCATGGAGTCCCTTCGGACTTAGACCGGGAGCTCAGAGTAATGCTCCGAGGCTGCGGTTACCATTGCAGAACGGATTTTGGGTGAAAGTACGACGAATGTCTCTCACGCTATCCTGATGACTTGAAAAGACTTTCTCGCGATTTGGAGCTGATTGACCATTCTAAAGCAAATGCAATACTTGCAAACAATTTGTTTTTGTGCTCCATAAACAAGCTCCGAGCACAGTGGAGCAGGGATGACCTGGGAAAGTGTAATGAGCATCGCATTCTGATCTTAGAAAGAAAACCGGATTGCTGACTGTAAGATGGAGTTCCAGTGTATCCGTTGCACACTCTGAAGCGCCCCTCTAACTCCGAACATCCTTTGAAAATCAGTGATGGAAGATCGTCTATAAACAGTTTCAGAATAACCTGCTTTGCATGTGGTCCACAATACTCCATTAGCTATCCCACCTGTGTACACGGTCGATAAGTATTCCCGTCTAATTAAAAGACGATAAGCGTTTAGATGGGGAAATTTTAGACCAGATTTGCAAGCAACTGAAGAACACACACACGACAACATTGTTACACGTCAAGGTACAAGGTAAGAATGCGCGTGTTGTCGAATAAATGGCCAGAACGCAATGTAGATATGTTCGAGTGGCTGTTTAAGTGAACTCCAGGCTTCGGGGAGTTAGAAGTGATCGACTCCATCTGCCTAATTGGTAAAAAGCCAAATACATACAAGCAAACATAGCTTATTCACTCTGGCTCCAAATCACTCTTATCAATTTTGGAAAGAGTGTTTCATCCAATGTTATCTCCATGATGCTCCCATGCTTACCATTGTTGCAGATACCGATATCCACGTGTATTTTCATACTAGGCTCCTCTTCTCCAGTGTTATCGGGTGAAACCGTCAACCATTCAAAACTGCACTCCTACAAAAATACACATGTTCCAGAAAGCAGTGACAGGTACCATACCATACGCCAAGCACCGCTCCCGCGCTTCCCTCGAAAGTCCATATCTTTTCTCGACGTCTTGGCTTACATACAAGGTGCTTCTTCGGAACGCTTGTTGGATATCTACAATAATGCCGCACTAGGGCCGTATTGAACCGAGATAATAATATAGCTCATGGCAACATTGCAGATTTCCCCATTGGGAGCATTCTCATTATTGCAGTGGTAACTTGCGTTCTTGACAGCCGCATCAAGGATATCTTTCTTGTCCATTTTCTTTGTGCCATATCATAGGTAGCTCCTGGGTCCATGGTACTGGCTTGGCCTTTTAGTAGTATCGATATCGTCGCGGCACTGGAGTTAAAATTTTGTTTTACCTGCCAGTGTGACCCTGCGATCTTAGCGCATCTTTCTGTGGGAGCACACTACGACTACTAGTAAGTACTAGTAACATTTCTTTGCAAAGTTGCGGGTCACTGCAGTGTCGCACCACGCTATTGATTATAGATTTGGCCCGATACTCGTGGAGATATATTGAGAATCAATTTCCGTTTTCATATTCTCTTCTTCCTCCGTCTGTCCCCGCGGCGGGCTCTGTCCGGTACCCAGCAGTCCGAGTCAGTCCCCTTCAATCGGAGTACTGTCTTGGCATCTTTTTGCTCAGTACGTAACGAAGGTCGTGTATTCGGAATTATACATGATACATTTTTGGCCAAAACAGACAAAAAGTACTACCGGCACCACTTCAATGGTTTATAAGCCCACAGAATTGCCCATACTTTTCAAATCATCAGCCCATTTTTCTTATCTTCCCTCCTAGGCCTCAGCATTTACTTTCTTATCTTCTCTACTTTTGCATTTACAATGGCACCCGGACTTGACTTCTTCAAATCTACGGAATCTACCAGCGCCCCCGTCATCGAAGTCAGCGCAGATGAAGTGCCTGCTGTAACCCCATCAACTGTTGATGACGGTCCTCTTGACCCCAGTGTCTACTACAATGCTCGCCTAGACCCCAAGAACTTCCTTGAGGGCCCTCTTTCATGGAACCCCGCCACCCGACTTCGCCAGATGCTCGCCCGCCCAGGTATTGTTGTAAGTACACTTTTTGTCCCCATTAGTAAATTGGCGGATCTTAAGCTTAATACGTCTCCTAGGTTGCACCTGGTATCTGTGACGGTATCAGTGCCCGCTGTGCCATCGAAGCAGGATTTGAATGCATGTACCAAAGTGGTGCTGCTACTACTGCTTCTCGTCTCGGTCAACCCGATCTGGCCATAGCCACCTTAAACGACTTTGTGCAGGTAAATCACTTTTGCGTTCTTTCTGTGTTAAGTGGTCTGATCTATAGTTTTAGAGTGCACAAATGGTGTGCAGTTTGCAACCCACCATGCCTGTTATCGCTGACGCTGATACTGGGTAGGTTACTTGCCCTTTCTAGTATTGTGGGGGGGACTAAAATGCTTTTTCAGATTTGGTGGACCTGCTATGGTGGCACGTACTGTTACTCAATACGCACGGGCTGGTCTTGCCGGTCTTCACATTGAGGATCAAGTTCAGACCAAGCGCTGTGGTCACTTGATGGGCAAGCAAGTCGTGTCGCGTGAAGAGTTCCTCACTCGTATTCGCGCTGCCGTCATCGCTCGTGATTCGATCCCTGGAGGCTCGGATTTCGTAAGCAACAGCCTAATCAAAGCAAGGCTTCGCGACTAACTAGCATTTCTTGTAGGTCATCATCGGTCGTACAGATTCAGCACAAGTGCTGGGAATGGAAGAAGCCGTTACTCGTCTCAAGCTTGCATCTGATGCTGGTGCAGATGTCTGTTTCATTGAGGGCGTCAAGACGAAAGAGCTTCTTGAAACGACTGTCGCAGCTCTCCACCCCAAACCTGTCCTTGTGAACGTTATCTCTGGTGGCCTTACGCCATCGTTTACCTGCCAGGAGGCCGAAGAAATGGGTGCTAAGATTATTAGTGAGTTTGTCTACTTCGCTAACAATACAGCTCTAATGATAGCTTGACAGTCTTTTCGCTTGTGTCTTGCGTGGCTGCTGTCCACGGTATCCGAGCTGCTATGAGGTCTCTGAAGAAGACCGGGACCGACTTTAGTTCGGCTCAGGGTATGGACCCTAGAGCCTTCTTCGAAGTGATGGGTCAGTTTGGTTCTACTTGTTTTGACCAACCCCATGCTTACAAATATCAATTAATATTATTAGGTCTGGACGAGGTTGTCCAATTAGATGCACGAGCAGGCGGTTCGGCTTTCGCCACTGTCTGATTATTTGTTGCTTGTTGAGTGGGTCTGTGGGTCTGTTAGTTGGTCTTCGCGTTCTCGTTCATCATTCTTCATCACTGTATACGAAATCAAGGTCCTCTAGGCGAGACCACAATGGGTTCTATGAGTGTTTCCATCTGCATCCCTGTCAGCGATAGATTTTATTTACGTCTTGTTTTACCTGTTGCAATCATATAATCGTCCTATGTAAATTTTATGTCTCTACAAATTGTGCGTTGGAGTGATTTCAGTCTGGTCACTGGTGTTTGTTGCTCCAGCTGTGGAAAAGCTACGATGAAAGGCCAATCACAAGCCGAACCAATCATAGCACGGCCTTCCGTCGGTGTGTGACGGGCCGATTTCCTGCACTCCGTTCCGGTTCTCACTGTGCGGTGGGTCAGAGTACGTTACTCCGTTATTCTTTGCTTTTCGAACTCTGACGAGCATCTTTCCTTCCTTGAGCGCCAGGGTTTCTGTACACGCCTTTGCAACATGGCCACCACGGAGAAGCTTATATCAGGCCAGACTGTTGCCCTGCATAATAGCCGGGAAAGTTGTTGGATCATCGTGCACGGTATGTTTTGGCCAATTCCAACGAACGAGTGGCTGTTTTGTCATTTGAAGAGTTTTTTGTGTGATGGAGTTGGGAGGGCTAATTGATGTTTGTATCTGCAGGAAAGGTTTATGATGTCACTGATTTTCTAGACGGTAAGCTTCCATTTACTAATTTGAGGTGGTGGTATTTACTCATATTCTTCACTGCAAACTTGAAGATCATCCTGGTAGGCAATCATTCATGCTAGACAGGTAAAATTTATACTTATGTTCGTATGTAGGAGGTAGCAGGATCATTCTTAAGTATGCTGGAAAAGATGCCACGTATGTATTCTGCCATTTTACACTTCACTTTCAACTGAAGAACCACGACAGCGCTGCATACGATCCTATTCACCCTCCAGACGCCATTACGACCAACCTCACCCCTGATAAGCAGTATGTACTACGCGTTTAGCTCAGCATAATAACGATAATTCAACTCATTGATTGTAGCTTGGGAGCTGTAGAGCCAGATACAGTAGAGAAGGAAGAAATTATAATCACGGCTGAAGAGATAGCTCGTCAAAAGCGTGTCGACTCTAGGCCACCGCTCTCTGAGATTCTAAATTTGCACGACTTTGAGGTACGTCTATCTCAGCTGAGGGCATACATATAGGTGTAATTAAGATTAACATATTACCTCCAGGCGATTGCAAAGGATGTCATGCACGAGAAAGCTTGGGCGTACTACTCCTCTGCCGCAGATGACGAAATCACAAACCGAGAGAACCATGCTGCATTTCACAGGTAACCTTCCAAGTCTACTTTATCATTCTCCTTAACTTACAGACCCAAGGATATGGTTCCGTCCTCGCATATTGCGGGATGTAACTCAAGTCGATTGGTCTACTACCATCCTGGGCCAAAAATCTAGCATGCCTCTTTACATTGTAAGCACGATGCTCAAACGTGGAGATAGTAAAGACTAAAAAGTCGACAGACTGCCACTGCTCTCGGTAAACTCGGGCATCCCGACGGAGAGCTCAACTTGACGAGAGCTGCCGCGAAACACGGAATTATTCAAATGGTTCCTTACCTTGTTCTCCTTGTGGCGTATACGCATATATACTGATTTCGCATTCAGATTCCAACTCTGGCTTCATGTTCATTTGACGAAATAGTTGATGCAGCCCAGCCAGGGCAAAACCAGTTTCTGCAATTGTGAGCGCTAATAAATCACTCCTTGTGATAATTCTGGTCCTAATGGAGGTTACAGATACGTTAACAAGGATAGAGCAATCACCAAACGCATTGTAGAGCATGCAGAAGAGCGAGGCATCAAAGGTCTCTTCATCACTGTTGATGCTCCACAGCTTGGTAGACGGGAGAAGGTACGGCTTTCTATTTACCAGCGGCAATAGAATCGAATCAAAGTCATACTTCCCTTCTTTACTCTACCAGGACATGCGTCAGAAATTCGAGGCAGAAGACCCATCAGAAGTCAGTAAATCCGGTCAGCAAAGTGGGGTTGATAGGTCACAAGGAGCCGCCCGTGCTATCAGCGTACGTGTTTCACCTGTTATATTAACGATGAAGCTGCGTTAAAATGGCCGTTTGTTCAGTCTTTCATTGATCCAAGCTTGAGCTGGGCAGACCTGAAATGGTTCAAGAGTATCACGAAGAGTGCGTGTTATTTTTGAAGACTGGGTGTCGTGTTCGGAAGTTTGATTACCGTTATCCAGTGCCTCTTATCCTTAAAGGTGTACAATGCTGGGAAGTCCGTATTTCCCATCTGTCTGCGATGCCATGTGCTGATTAAGATGACCCTGCTAGGATGCTCTCGAAGCATATGATAACAACATGGCCGGTGTTGTTCTTTCTAACCACGGCGGACGTCAGCTTGACTTTGCTCGTTCCGGAATAGAAATTCTTGTGGAAGTGGTAACGAAACTGAAGGAAAAAAGAGGACTTACGTTTCCCAATGAAAAATTCCAATTGTTTGTAGACGGCGGTGTACGGCGAGCGACTGATGTTCTCAAAGCCGTTGCTCTTGGCGCGACTGCGGGTACGTTTCTGATGGAAAGTCCGGTCTGCCTGAAGAGAGCTAACGCTTTTCCGTCACTTCTCGAAATTTCGTAGTTGGCGTGGGTCGCCCGTTCCTTTATGCGTATTCGTCATATGGAGCCGACGGAATGGACAAAGCGCTACAGATTTTGCATGTACGTCATGAATCTTCCTTTGGTTAGCGGGATCGCTGACGATAGCGATTACCGGACGATATCCATTTCCTGTCTGACATGTTCCGCAGGATGAATTCGAGATGAATATGCGACTCTTGGGGGCACGCTCCATGAAAGAAGTCGTACCCGAGATGGTCGACGCATCAAATATCCACACGCATATTGTGGCTGTTCCAAGTGACAACTTGTATGAGAGCAATTGTGCGTGATTCACCGTGTTCTAGAATCGCTCGTCACTTAACACATCTTGGCAGACGAACGGTTGCAAGGTGCGCGTCTCAAAGAGTTGCAAGCGAAGTTGTAGATAAGGATAGAGGTGTGAACTCATCTGGAGAGGTTCTTGGAAACCGGTGGAATCATTAGTATGCATTTTTCGAACTTGCCATTTACTGTCAAATCTCTCGTTGTTCTTTGCTATTTGCTGTGGAACGCACATCTAAATGTACAAATATATATCACATGTATATATTCCAGGTTTTGGAGCCCGAAAAGTGCAGATTACTTGGCGGGAATAGTCGTGAGTGGAGATAACCTAGAGTAAGCGAATTACGAGTCGATTCCTGGTTTCTAGAATGATAACAATGGTGAAGGGAACATATGACCATGTTCAAGCACCTCAAGTACGAGACTAGCCTGGCATCCGAATGGCCAGAAGAGGGGCTAGTCTATGCAAGAAGTTCTTCGTGTACGTTGAAGTATCTGGATATTCCATGAGAACTACGGTATTCATCTCGGAATCAATTAAAAGTACACACCGAACAACCTTGCCCATAGCGCGACATGTTCCCGTGCCGTTTTCGTCCCACTTTACAATCCAACGACCGAGGATCTCGCCTTTCGTATTTAGCGTCTCGGCTATCGTCTCTTCTCGCCCCTGCACGCCCACCTTGGAGGGTGTGCTAGAATTCTCTTTGGAAGGGGGGAGAATGATCTGCTCCGCGAGCTCCCACTTGGCGAACGGCCGTTTTGTCTCGACGAGGAAGTTGACGTCGTAGACGCGGGTGACGAGTTTGTGTAGGCGAATAGTAAGTGTGGTCATCTCAAGACCTTCCATGCCGTCGTTCTCGCTTGGAGAAAGACGGCGAAGATCTGTCACGTATGGACCGCCACACCAAGCGACGAGAGCGGTCGATACGGCGCTTGTGGATAAAGCGGTGGTGGCTAGGGCGATGCGAGCGGTGGTAGGGAGAGAAGATTCGATGCCGAATATGAAGGGCGCCATTGTGAAAGAAAGACCAAGAGAAGAGAGAGAAAAGACTTTGAGACGACGGAATGTTTTGGTGAGAGGACCATGATAGGCAGCATTGTTGTCTTCCCGGTCTGATGGGGGGCTCTTTAGGGTGGATGTGGTATCATTGGATGCGTTGGAGGAAGAAGTAGACAGGAAACGAGAACAAAGGTGAGTGCTGGAGTGTGATGGCGGTAAGGATGGATGGAAAAGGACTGAACGCTGGAGGGATGGTTGTCTCCAGCGCAGACCGAGATTGACGAGTCGCAGCATACGGAGCGGAAAAGTGTGCGTCAGCCAAATGACCACCTCGCACTCAGCAGGTCACGTGTAGTCATATGTAGTCATCATACATGTAGTCCAGTCATAATCATCATATCATTCAATATGGTAGAAGACCCAACAGCCATCAGGGTAAAGTGTGGTATGCTTGCCCAGCACAATAATATTTTGAAGTTTTTGTTTTTGTCAGTCTGTTGCCTATAGGCTGATTGAAAATGTGGCTACAGTGGTGAAATAGGCTTGGCTTCTCTGCTACTCTAAGCTACAAGCTCAAAAGAACTTGAAAAAATATCATGTATACCAAAAATGACCAGTTTTGTCTTCTGATTCAGAACATACTGTATAGTCAAAATAGCTTTTTTCTCCTGTTGGAAGTAAACTCAGTCAATCAGAAATATGGCTGAGAGTAAGGTAGGCTGCAAGCACCAGTGTTGTAAAGAGTCAATATTGACCCCTTGACCTTCCGACAGCGTCAGTTGATTGACCTTGGGTCAGACAGGGTCAGACCATGTCAATGGGGTCAACATGTGACCTAGACACGGTTTGTTGATTTTGTGGAGTAGTTAGCTAAGTACATATCAGAGTCTGCTAGCTCTAGTAGGCTAGTACAGGGAGGTAGTACTTCAGGTGGTTAACATATAAGAGAATGGGCTGTTAGAATATTTGCCTTGTCCCTCTTTGAATTGAGTCTCAGCCTGATGGTCAACAAGTCTTCACTGTGGAAAATTCATGTTTTTTAAAGATAAGACTAAAGGGATCAAAACAACAATATGCACAAGGAATCATCCCACGAGCTGTTCACTACAGCTGACAATCATCTGTTCACAACTGTTTCCAATAATCTTATTAGCGAGGCAACTGCAGCTGACAACGATATTGGTGAGCCTTGCTGCTCAACTGTTACAACCAAGAGTTTGTTACTCCGGCGCACAACTTCAGACAAGCTATAGAGAGGATGATGAGGGAGTGGTTACCCTTTAGGCTTCAACAAGTTAGTTGTGAGGATACAACAGGAGGACTCGCTGAGGAGTCTCCTGGATCTACTGAGGTATATATACTAATACAGAGTGTTTGTACTTATGTACTGTACAGTTAATAAAAGCAGTGGCTGATGATGTCAGAGGGCGCAGCCCGTGTGACCAGCTCCACTGCGTGAGAGACTTGTAGCTAAAATAAGAATAAAGGCAGCATACCGCGAGAAGGTGGAGTTTGAACAAAATGGAAAGTGCCGCGTGGCACTGTGTGTGTAACAACCAAGAGTTAGTTACTCTGGCGCACACAGGAACACACTATAAAGGTAGTGAATGGGGAGTGGTTACCCCTTAGGCTGCAGAGAGTTTGTTGGTTAACAACAGGAGGACTCGCTGAGGAGTCTCCTGGATCTATTGGGGTATATATACTAATACAGAGTGTTTGTACTTATGTATTGTACAGTTGATAAAGTTAGTGGCTGATGATGTCACGGGGCCTAGCCTGCATGACCAGCTCCACTGTGTGAGAGAGTTGTATCTAAAATAAGAAGAAGGCAATGCGGTGCGAGAAAGAGGAGTTTGAACAAAAGGGGAAGTGCCGTGTGGCACCATGTGTGAAAGCTAAAGTGTACAAGGTTAAAGCGGAGAATGAAAAAGAAAGAAAGGTCCGAAAATTGTGTTATCGTAACACTACTCCCCTTCTAAGGCTCGACTTCCAGGCGAGACCAAATACCGGAGGTAGTAGTTAAATTTTCGGGCATAGGTTGAAAAAGAGAATCAAAAAGATTTGAATCTATGCCTCTAAGCTTCCTAGGAGCTGAGGGATTCTTAGCATAGAATTTGCGAACAGCGTTGCAGGAATTGTCCAGATGGGCTTCTGGTTCCCACATTCTGTCCTTGTCTCCATAGCCCTTCCATAGGACTAGGAACTCTAATTTGCCACGCTTCAAGCGTGCATCCACCACCCGTTCGACTTCGAACTCTTCTTCACCTTCCTGGGTGACTACAACCAGTCCGGGCCGGTCTACACGCTGTCCCGGCAGCGGCCCTTTGTAGGGTTTTACACGGCTAATGTTGACCGTGGGTACTACCCTCATTCATTTTGGGATTTCCAGCTCCACTGCGTTGGGTTTGAATTCCTTAATCCGGTAAGGGCCAATCCATTTTTCGGTCAGTTTTCTAGACTGCCAATCTATTAACTTTAAATGGTCGGTATCTAACCAGACCAGGTCATTGATCTTGTAGTCAGGGGCCTTAGAGCGTCTACGCTCTGCCCTGTCTTTCATCTACTCTGCAGTTTTGAATAGCGCCTTGTGCGTTTCGTCTAAGACAGACTTCATGTCTTTGGCCATGTTCCCAGCAGCCTTGTTCTTGCTTTTACCAGGTTCTACACCCATTCTGGGGAGGTACGATCTAGTAACCTCGAACAGTGCCTTTCCTGTAGCCGATGACTGTTTAATATTGTATGAGAACTGGGCTATCTTTAGCCACTTGGCCCAATCCGTCTGCCTGTCATTAATAAATATCTGGAGATATTGTTTCAACTCCTGGTTGAGTCTCTCCGTTTGTCCATCAGTCTGCGGATGGAACACCGTTGATAATTTAGGTTTGATGCCCAGCATCCGGCATAATTCTTTCGTAAATTCGCTAGCAAATTGAAGTCCTCTATCGGAGATAACCGTTTCTGGTAACCCATGGATAGACCATACAAAATCTTTAAATAAATCTGCCGTACCAGCGGCAGTAATAGTTTTGTTGGTGGGTATGAATACCACTTCTTTGGAGAAGCGATCTGCTACCACCATTACTGAATCATACCCATTTGACTCGGGCAGATCCGTTGTGAAATCAACCAATATATCTTGCCAGGGACCAGCTGGTATCGGATTCGGCATAAGTTTACCAGCTGGCGGTTGGTGAGAATTCTTAGCCATGGCACATCTCAGACAGGATTTTACGTATTCCTGTACGTCTTTGACCATGCCAGGCCACATGTAGTTTCTGGAGATCAACTCCATTGTTCGTTGCCACCCAGGGTGCCCAGCCACTGGAGTGTCATAATGTCTATCTATTGCCTTGATCCTTGTGGACTCAGGCACACAGATTTTGTTTTTAAAATGGAAGAGCCCGTCTTCCCATAAATAGTTTTCATTGCCGTCAAGGCGTGCCTTCTCTTCTGAGGAAATGTCTTTCTTGAAGACTTCTAGAAGATCGGAATCCTGCCCAATTCTAACATCGGCAACCCTTGATTGGTCTATCAGGGTAACACCTTTGTTGTCATCTTCGATGCCGTTGGCATGATCCTCTCTTCTGGACAAAGTGTCCGCTTTTCCCATAGAGCTTCCAGGCTTATGAATTAATTTATAATTAAACCTTGACAAGTATACCGCGTAGCGGGCCTGTCTTCGGTTCAAGTCTCGGGCCGTCATAAAATACTCCAGATTCTTATGATCAGTCCAAATTTCAAATTGGTGCCTAGCACCTTCTAAGTAGTGCTGCCAGTGCTCTAGAGCTCTAATGATGGCCAGCATCTCCTTATCATATATTTGATAGTTGCGCTCTGTAGGCGACAAACTATGCGATAAATAGGCACAAGGCCTCCAAAGATCGTCAGGGCATTGAATTGAAATATGGGCGCCATTGTAAACACCTGTTTAAGCTTATCAAAAGCTTCTTGTTCCTTAGCACCCCAGTGCCAAACAATGTCCTTTTTAGTGAGATCGTTCAATGGTCTTGTGATTTTTGCGAAGTTTTTGATAAACCTTCGGTAGAAATTGCCTAAGCCAAGGAAGGCCCTAACTCCTTTGACGCGAGTAGGTTCTGGCCAGTCCAATATAGCTTGAACTTTCTCAGGATCCATCCTGATACCGTTCTGGCCTATGATCATACCGAGGAAGTTTACTTCCTTCACCTTAAAATTACACTTTTCGGGTTTGATGAATAGGTCCCGTTCCTGTAAGCGTTGAAGGACTTCTTGCACGATCCTGTCATGCTCAGCCTTATTGTCCGACTTCGTAAATATTAACAAATCGTCAATGTAAATGACAACACAGTTCTCCATATCCGCAAAGATCTCATTCATCATGCTCTGGAAGGTTGCCGGTGAATTGGTCAACCCAAAGAACATAACGAGGGGTTCAAAGGATCCTCGGTGGCACGTGAACACGGCCTTCCAAGCATCAGTTTCTTTGATTCGTACATTATTGTACCCCCATCTGAGATCCATCTTTGTCAAGATCTTGGCATCAGCCAATTTGTCTACTAGCTGACTGATCAAAGGTAGCGGATATGCATTTTTAACCGTGTGCTGATTCACATAACAATAGTCTATAATCATACACTTCTTACCATCCTTTTTAGGAATGAAGAACACCGGGGACGTCATAGGGCTTTTGGAAGATCTGATGTAACCCTTCCTAAGCTGCTCGTCTATGAAACTTGAGACCTCATCTCTTTCTGGAGCAGAGAGGGGAATCATGTGTCCTTTTCTCGGTTTGAAAGTGTCCTTCAAATCTATTGCATGGTCCCAAGGCTTAGCCTCTGGGAAGCGCTCTGACTTATGTTTAGAAAAGACTTTCCAGAAGTCATGGTACTCGGGAGGTACCAGCCTCTTAATCTCTTCCTCGGGTTTTACCTCATCATCGTCCTCGTCAATCTTTTCTAAAGATCTGAGCTCATAAACGTGACCAGCGTTTATCTTTTCAAGACGCTCATTGTGACGGACATGATTCGGTTTACCCAAGTTTACACACTCCTGAGGGCAACATGACAATGTGACAACCCCTGTCTGCCAGTTGATCTCAGGATTGTGTTTAAATAGCCAGGTCCAGCCCAAGATTAAATTAATCTTCCCTAGTTGGGTAGCTTTGGCGGTGACTCGTTCTCTGTGTCCTTGGTATTCGACAACAAAAGAACATTTGTGCGTGATGCAGCCACCCGTGTTAAGCGTACCGTCAACGTTATAGACGGGAATAGATACATCTCATTTTACAAGGGGGAGTCCAATTTGCTCCGCCCAGACCTGATCTATGAAGATTCTGTTAGCGCCTGAATCAAGCAGTGCGCTGGTTGGGTGTACTATGCCCCGGGCAAGGTTTTCCACACCAATGTCTAAACAGATCTCTTTTTGGAATAAATATGTGCGCATCAACACACGCCTTGGGATTTTGGGAAAGGGTGGCTCCAACAAAGAAGAAGGGGTATCGCAAGTTACATGTTTTTCTATTTTATTTTTACCAGAATCAAGCACCCTAGTGTTTGTCTCGCCGGGGCCACGCTCTAAAGAAGACGCTGGTGCAGCGGTAGTATCATAAATATTACAGTTACATTGCTTCATACAAGTACATATTTCTGATAAATTTTGAAATCTATTTACAAATTGGGGAGCCATCCCCGTCTTTCCTTTATTGCTCGTGCAACACCCCAGAGCAGGGGCCACTTTGTTGTGGTTTACTTCATTGTTTCATGGAGCAAAGGCACCCAAGTGACCTAAGCTCCAAACTCTTTTCCCTGAGCCTTCATTTCATTGACCTGTTGGTCATAGAAGAAAACTCGGATTTCCTCGTACGAACGACCGGCCAGAGTATTGAGCTGATTGTCCGGTTTTTCAGTTTCTGATTGGCGCGCCTGGCGCCCTTGATTATTTTTTTATTGGGCGGCCTGCGCCCCGTTTCTGCAATTGCGGGACATGTGTCCTTCTTGGCCGCAATTGTAGCAGTTCCCCTTGAATCTGCGCATCTGTCCTCCTTGGACCACACCGATATCCATGGGGGCTCCCTGCCCTGGTTGCAGCCTGACAGCTTGAACCTGTGAGAATGATTTTGATGGTTTGATGACCCAGGGCACCTCTGGGATTGGTTGTTTTTGGTGGTCTCGCCACCTTGGTGCATTTTGTAGAGCTCTATGGCCCTACCTATTTTCCAAACCTCCTCTGCTGCTTGAGAGAGATTCTCATTTCTCATATCCTGCAGATAAAGCTGTTCTGCAATGTGAGGGTTCACATTGCGTTCCAGCAGCTCCACTGCATGTTCATTACCAAGGCCCCCTTGGATGGAGAGGGCCAGGAACCGGGTTACAAAATCATCTGTCCTCATGTTGCCTTGTTTGAAGGAACGGATCTGCTGACGCGCCCAGTCGTGCTCAGCTTGCGGCTTGAAATATTTTTCAATCTCTACTTTGAGATCATCCCAGGTGGGCCACACTCCCGTGGTGTAGCACTCCTGCAATCTAACTTGGGCGTATCAACCCGCCACAGGTCCCTTTAGTCGAGATAGCACTGCAGTGGCTACCTGAAAATTGTCGGCAAATGCATCCCAATTTGCCTTAACCCATATTTGGAGTTTGATCCACCATTCGGCAAATCACGCTCTGTCTCCCTCGAAGGTGCCAGGGTCAGCGACGACTTCGACTTTCTTATTGAATTTCTTCTCAACCGAGGGGGTTGCTGCAGGGGGATTTGCCTGCAGCTCGGCGAGTTGGCTCGTTAATGCCTGAATCTGCGCACGCATGTTGTGCAGCAGGGCATTGATATCTGGTTGCAACGACATGTTGACTTGTTCTCTTTGTAAGGTAATGTAAAAAAAAAGGTAACTGGGGGTCCCTGCTTGCTATCTGCGGATCAACCTCTTCCCAGCTGAGTATCGGATCTCAATCTCTGACTACCCACACTATAGTATTTGAAAATTATATAAAAGTATTCGTAATAAACCCTGGTCCGAACGGTTGTCAGGGGGTGGTTCGCTTGTTAAGCTGTCAACCCTTCTCCAGACTGGCGGAGGCAAGTGCCTGGCCTGGTCAGAGGAAAGAGAAAGTGAAGTTTTATATGTAAATTCTAATCAATAGTGGTTCCACACCGACTGCTGAGCTAAGTACTCCCCTTAACGCTGGGGCCGTGTATTGAAGGTTTTGTTTCTTCTCCCAAAGCACTACAAGGCCGTCGCAAAGAGCGCACCTATCTGCTATGCGGGATATTCCTAAACAATAACCAAATCTCCTTCACCCTGGAGTCCGGGTGCCCAGTGGGACTTTTTGCACAACGTGCGAGAGAGTAGAAGAGCGAGTCCTATTGTAACAACCAAGAGTTAATTACTCTGGCGCACACAGGAACACACTATAAAGGTAGTGAATGGGGAGTGGTTGCCCCTTAGGCTGCAGAGAGTTAGTTGGTTAACAACAGGAGGACTCGCTGAGGAGTCTCCTGGATCTATTGGGGTATATATACTAATACAGAGTGTTTGTACTTATGTATTGTACAGTTGATAAAGTTAGTGGCTGATGATGTCATGGGGCCTAGCCTGCATGACCAGCTCCACTGTGTGAGAGAGTTGTATCTAAAATAAGAAGAAGGCAATGCGGTGCGAGAAAGAGGAGTTTGAACAAAAGGGGAAGTGCCGTGGGGCACCATGTGTGAAAGCTAAAGTGTACAAGGTTAATGTTACGATAACACAATTTTTGGACTTTCCCTTTACTTTTATTCTCCGCTTTAACCTTGTACTATAGCTTTCACACATGGTGCCACGCAGCACTTCCCCTTTCTCACACCACATTGCCTTTCTTGTTGTTTTGGACACAACTCTCTCACACAGTGGAGCTGGCCATGCGGGCTAGGCCCCATGACATCATCAGCCACTGTCTCTATCAACTGTATAGTACACATGTACAAATAACCCTGTAGTAATCCTAAGGGGTAACCACTCCCTCTTCATTCTCTTTATAGTGTGTTCCTGTGTGCGCCAGAGTAACTAACTCTTGGTTGTTACAGTTAAAGCGGAGAATAAAAAAGAAGGAAAGGTCCGAAAATTGTGTTATCGTAACAGTGTGCAAAAACTACAGTATAAAGTTAAAGAGGAGAATGAAAATTAAAGGTCCAAAAATTGTGTATCGTAACATCAACTCAATCCACAACAGCACCTGTTCCCTCTCAGGCTGCCACATCATCCACACCCTCATCCACTAGCATTCGTTCAACAAGTGGCAGTGCAAGTACTCGTGCTCACAGTGTTTGAGCCACACTTCATGAGCTTTTCAGCTTCCCGCTACCCGGTTGTTCCTCACCCAATATTGCCTCACTTCTGCAGTTTTGGGCTGCTGGACAAACAGCATTAGCATGTGAGGAGGAGTACCATGACTTCATCCAGGAAGAAATTAACTCTGAAGCTTGCCCAAGCATTACTGTAACCTAACTTTTTATTTTTTACATGCTCGCCAGTATTCCTCACTAATCTACATGCTATTAATATTGTGTTTTGATTCTTTATTGCAGTGTATATATTCTCATGTAATTTTATCTGTCATATTAAATAATTAACTATTGCCTCTATGCCACAGTCCTGTGCTTGACCTTTGATGAGGTCAAGTCAATGAGGCTGACTCCGTCTGATGGCGTCTGACTCTGAGGTCTGACCTCGTCAATAAAAACACTGGCAAGCACATACAACTGTATCACATAACATGATGGTCACCATGGCACAACATTATTTACACAAATTATATGATTAGGTTTTGTACCAATAAGTATGTATATACTGCTTTTTGTTTCTTGTAGGAAGGCACTCCCTTGTAACTACTATATGGTCCAAGGTTACTCAGATTATAGAGTTTTTGTTTGGACATTATGGAGGCCTGGAGAAGTACACAACAAGATGAGATTGGAATAATTACCTAATTAAAATCAGTGTTTTGCGTATAAGTCACCACAATCATCAAAACTTAAGACTTTGTTTGCAAGAATTTGCTTCTAATGTAAAACCACACAATTCTGTGCAATGTCAATGATGAAGGCTGCCTGTTAGAAAACCACACAAAACAAACTAAAAAACAATCCTCCCAGATTCCACGGAACTTGTTTGTGGGCAATGCCTCCTAGAACAATGGGTGCTCTGGTTGTTTGTGGGGTGGTAAACTTTATGATCCTTCAAAACAAAAACCAAGTGGTGTGGGTTTGAGGAGGAGGGATAGTTGAAAGATAGAGGCTTGATGCTGAACTGGATTGGGGGCTAAGATTAATAAAGACAAGTACTACTTTGCTAATTGTAGCATAAGGCAGGTTTAAGAATAACAAGGATGATGAGAATCCCAGTGATAGCAGGCTCCTAATGCACAAACTGTAGTGCTCAGAAGGACTTTAATTGAAAGGGATGATGTCATACACCAAAGTTGATTGGTAGCATGAATAGGTGTCAATAACAAAGCAAATATTCAAAAGACTTGCCTTTACATTGCACAGGCACAGTGTTTTACTTTCCATTCAGTACTTTTAGCAATTTTCCGCATCGCCACTGGCTACACTTTGCATTGTGCCCTCACTTTTGTCATTTCCCTTACCCCTTTCTTTACTTAGCCCCACCATGGGCCCTCTCCTTTCCTTTAACTTCTCACCAGATGGTCGTTTGGGGATCCCTATTTTAGTCTCCTTGTGCTTCCACCACATCTGATGTTACCGCTCTCCATCCGCTTCTGTTGCCAATCCGTTAATCACCATGTGCCACTGCTAATATCAGTAAAGCCCCGGCGGCCGGTCCAAACTGGGAAACAGGTCCGTCTTTATGACATCAATCTTCCATCATATACTATCAAATCATCGGTTGCTTGTCTCGCCTGGCTGGAACACGGGTGGGTAGTTTTGGAGTTGGAAAAGGTCCATCCTCTTGTGTCACCCATGTACATTACCACCCCATTTTCTTGGGTGCATTTATCCTTCATCTATTGTCTTTGCTACAGCTACACTTATCACACGCTGTCTGGGACACATCTGTTCCAGATTGGAACTGCTCCCCTCCCTTCATTTGACCAGGTGGTCCAATACAACCAGACCATTGGTAAGGCCATGGAAACATCGTATTTGGACTAGGTGGTGGACCGGTGGACCGGTGGCTCTAGTTCTTTTTTTTCAGCAGAACATTCATTTGCAGTGCAATTGTTTTGATTTTTGAATCATTTTTATCAACATATATTTTTTTTAGAATGCCTGACTGACAACAAGGAAACTGTGTTGATACTGATATTATTTTGCCTTGCCCTTTTTTTTACTGCATCTTCCCATGACATCATGATTTTCTTGCTCTCTTTCTGCTATTGGAATTTATTTTATGGCTGTACAAACCTGTGACATTACATACACAGGATTTGTTGTTCATGTTCTATCCCTTTCTTTTCCTTATTTTGACAATCTTATCCTTTACTACCTACACAGGATTTGTCAGTGTATATTCCTTCCTTCACATCCTTTCTCATTTTTTTTGCACAGCTATACTGTGCATAGCCTACTTTTCTTTTACTATATAAACCCCTGTATTTTATTGTAAAAACAAGAAATCCAGTCCAGACTTCTTCTTTAATCTCAAGTCCACTACTCACTATTACTTGTGATCCAGTGTGGTCACAACATTTCACACTGCTACTACTGTCAATTGCTGTCATTGTCACTCTCCACTTCAGAAGTCTTTGTTATCCCTTTCAATTAGAGTCCTTCTGAAGACTACAGTTTGTGCCCTAGGAGCCTGCTATCACTGGGAACCTTGTCACCTTGTCATTTTCAAACCTACCTTGTGCTACAATTAGCAAGGTAGTGCTTGTCCATACTCATCATAAAGCCCCTATCTTTATCTTCCAACTATCCCTCCTCCTCAAAACCCACACCCATACATTTCTGGGGTTTACTTTGAAGAATTATTATATGTACCACCCCACGAACAACCAGACCACTCCACTGTTCTAGGAGACAAAGCCCATACACAAGTTCCGTGGAATCTGGGAGGATTGTTTGTTAGTTTGTTTTTGTGTGTGGTTTTCCAACAACAGTTTTCATCATCAACAGCCGAAGGGCCTAGTGCATGAGCTAAACTAACTCCCAACCTTGTAATCTATTCTGCTCCCCAGTGTATCTCCATTGTCGATGATGAGAACTGCTGTTAGAAAACCACACACAAAAACAAACTAACACACAATCCTCCCAGATTCCACGGAACTTGTTTATGGGCTTTGCCTCCTAGAACAGTGGAGTGGTCTGGTTGTTCGTGGGGTGGTACGTATAAAGGTCCTTCAAAGTAAAACCCAGAGGTGTATGAGTGTGGGTTTTGAGGAGGAGGGATAGTTGAATTTATAGAAGATAGGGGCTTAGTGATGAGTATAGATGAGCACTACCTTGCTAATTGTAGCACAAGGTAGGTTTGAGAACAACGAGGATGACAAGGTGACGAGGTTCCTAGTGATAGCAGGCTCCTGGGGCACAAACTGTAGTGCTCAGAAGGACTCTAATCGAAAGGGATAACAATGACTTCAAAAGTGGGAAGTGACGATGACAGCAATTAACAGTGGTAGCAGTGGGAAGTGTTGTGACCACACTGGATCACAAGTAGCAGAGACTAGTGAACTTGAGATTAGAGAAGAAGTCTGGATTGGAGTTTTTGTTGTTTTACAAGGTAAAATACAGGGGTTTATATAGTAAAAGAAAAGTAGGCTATACACAGTATAGCTGTGCAAAAAGAATGAGAAAGGATGTGAAGGAAGGAATGTACGCTGACAAATCCTGCATAGGTAGTACAGGATA